GGCTCTAATCTGACATTTAAATTTTCTTTTTATATTACCAACATCAGGACAAAGGAGGCTGTTTAGCTACTGCTTTCTTAATTTTGTTGGTGGGAGTTTTATATTTAAAATTCCATCTTAATAGGTAAATGAGTGCTATTTTAAAGCAGTGTGGATAAAAATCAGTGTTTTTTATTTTAAAAAAAGAACTGGATTTAAGCCTGTTTAAAAGGAAATATGAGTTAAATACAAAATACATTAAGGCCTAAACTTCTTATCTCTTGAAACAATTAAATAAAAAATAAATATGCTGAATCCAGGCGCTTCTGTCAAAAACTTTCAATTAAAGGCTGTTTTTCTATATAAAGAGAGATTTCCCCCCTCCGATTCTCACTTCTGAGATCAAGCTTTATAAATATGGCACAATAGTAGTAAATAGCAATATATCATTCACCATTTTGTAACATACTAAAAATTAATAAGAATCTGAAAATATTAAGTTATGTAGTTGCTTAAATAATTGTATATAGTTATAGTGTACCCTACTGAGTAGCAAAAGATGTATCAAGTCTAGTGGTAAGATTCTTTTATAAGTAAATCAACATGTTTTAATGGTTATATCAACCAATGAGAATGCACCTTTCTTTAGAAAATAACTGAAGTGCAAATGGAAAAGTTGATTAAATGATTTAAATCAAGGCTTTCCACTTGGTGATTTAAATCAATGCACACTATTTTAACGATGACTAGCAGAGTTAAAGTAAAATTCAGTCTGCAGTCATTCGTGTGTCCAGGAAGATTCTCTTATTCAACTGAATTAAATGTGAGCTAGGATATAATGTTGTCACATATTCATCATGGGATTTACAGCAGATTCCAGCAGGGGCTGATAAAGTTAGGATGAATATTGTGTTTCAGAGAAACCAGTGTAACTTAACCTGTTTATGTGACAGGAGATTAACAGCAGATTATGCATGTTGTGAATGTCAGAGCTAAAGTGGGCTGCCTCTGTTTTATTTTGAACTGAATATTTCAAGGGCCTTTGGAAAGAGTTTAACCTTGTTTTGTTTTTTTGGACAGGCTTTTGGAATCCTTCTAGTTTTCTGACAAACTGAAGGAAAATCAGACTGACAAAACCATTGTTTGTTATCTAACAAACTGTCATTGGACTCTAGTAGTGTTCAGAGCATATAATGTTATATAAACCAATTGTGATTTGTCAAAGTTGAAATAAGTAACTATTAAGCATTATGTAAATACTTGATGTTTAATGAAACCTATTTAGTAAAGTATTGCACATAGGCCATGTCCAATACTCGGAAAATGCTGGCTTAAGAATTTTTGGCAGTGCTAGAAGGGTCTGACTGACACACCTTTAGTTTGTAGAACTTCATTTAAAAAAAAAAAAATGTGGGAAAGGTTGCTATTATGAGACCATTCCGTAAACTACTAATTTCAGTAGTGGGTTCTGACTAAAAATCAATGTCTGGATATGGCCTAAACTTGGTACAGAGACAGCGTTATCTGCAGAAAGGAGTTGAGTGCTTTCACCAAAGCAAACAATTTTTAAGAGAAGCATGTGGACTTTTGGGTTGGGGAGAGAGAGCTCTTACGGTTTGGTTCAGCCTCTACTGTTTATGGACTCTGCAATCCTATAACTTAGATTCATAGATACTAAGGTCAGAAGGGACCATTATGATCATCTAGTCTGACCTCCTGCAGAACGCAGGCCACAGAATTTCACCCACCCACTCCTGCGAAAAGCCTCTCACCTATATCTGAGCTATTGAAGTCCTAAGTATAGGTGAAAATTTGTGCCTCTACTGTAGTCTCACCTTGCCTAAAGTGTGAGATTCAGACTTGGGAACTGAACCTGGATCCCTTGTTTGGCAGTTAGCTAAAATCACAATTGCAGCTAGTGTTTCTGCTAAATAAGGATGTCTTAATGTTTTAACTGAACGTTTTGTCAGAACTACTATTTTCTCTTCCAATATAAGGCAAACCAGTTTGTTTATTCTTCAGAATAAAAACCAATGTATATGCTAATAAGAAAACTCTTACTATAACTAGGATTTACAGTTTTAAAAATAGAAATAAATGATCTTAAACATCTGGCTCAGGATATCCGTTAGTCACATAATTGTTTGACTAATGTATTGAAAGCCAGGCTTACTGTAGGGTCTGTTCTATACTTGAAAGTTTTGCTGGCACAGCTATGCCAATTGGGTGTGATTTTTGTTTTTATTTTTAACCTCTTCCTCCCACCCATGATGTAGCTGGGGTGGCAAAATATGGTTGGTAAAGGAAAAATTACCCATGTTGTGAAATAGCAATTGTGCAAAAATTAGTGGACCACAAGTGTATATTTTACCATGGATGTCTGATAAATCATACATCCTTGCCATTCAACAAGAACATAATTCTGCTCATTTTAAATCTGCAGTGGTGTAGTTCAGCTTTTTGTAAGCACTTAAATTAGAACAGTTAATGTGTATGGTTTTGTTACTTGTAGCAAAAGGAAATGTAATGAGTTGGCCTTCAGTTACTCAAACTTGTCTGAAGCTTCAGGACAGCTGCAACAACTGGTCAGTTTTCCACATAAGACAAAGTATGTTCAGTTCTTCTTCGAGTGCTTGTTCACGTCGATTCCAATCAGGTGTGCACGCACTGCATGTACGGTTGTCGGAAAGTTTTCCCTTAACAGCTCCTGTTGGGTTGGCTGTGGAACTCCCTGGAGTGGTGCCTTTATGGCGCTTAATATATGACCCTGCCAACCCGACCCCCTGCTTCAGTTCCTTCTTACAACTCTGGCTAGTTGTTTAATGTACACTGACTTCAGTTTGCAGAGTCTAGCACTGTGAATGTTGAGATACTATGTAGACAAAAGCATCCTGAAGGATAAAAATCTAAATATTTATCAGGTGTGAGGATTATAGGCAAGATTCCCTATTAAGTTTTAATAGGAGTTCAAGTCTGAACAAAAATGCCTTCCCCCTTCTCAATCAGGCTGTGTTTCCTTGGTGTATGATGTAAGTTTTCCAGACCTCCATAAGGTCCTCCAAGAAAAGCATTGTGGACAAGACCCTGGAATGTGTACTGTATACATAAGAAGAACCAAATCCCTGCCTCTTTATTTTTGAGCAGGCAGTGAGACATCTTGGGCCTTTTTCAAACATGAAAAAGCAAGAAAGGGACAAATCCATTTTCTTTCTGTACAGGTTACTTTTATCTGCATATTTGATATACTTGCACAAAGGAAAAGGAGTTGGTAGTTCTGTTGGTGGTATGGACCTTGCATATTTGAGTGTTTGTTTCAGCAACACAGTCCTTCATGGGGTGGAATTAAAATACTTTAAATAAATGTATATCACTTGTTTCTGCATTATTTGTGCATATGTGTGAGTAAAGTTGAAACTCCCTTACTTTCTTTCCAAGCTGTATATTAGATTGTTATTAGAAATAAGTTCACTAAAATAAAAAGTGGAACTCTGTTTTTGGCCAGGAATGGCTTTAAAGAGGAGAAAAGCTACCCTCCATGTCCACTGCTCTTTGAACTTAATTCTGGTAGATCAGAAACCACTATTACGGGTTAGTACTATGGAGGAGTTCAAAATTATGCAACACTGGAGGAACTTTTTTCATAATTTAATTTGTTCATATGCAGGTATACAGAATACATAGGACATAGCTATTTTCTGAGTATCTTCAACCAGTTAAGCTGAAACTTGAGTTCTGGTAAAGAAAAAGGCAGCATTTTTAGAACCGATACTTTAGATCACTAATTGCCTGTTATATGATGATGACAAATGCCGCTAGACCCACTTTCTCACATTATTTTGGGAAATTTTTTTTTAACTAATTGGTGCATTGTTTGCAGTTAGTATCTTGTAATTGTTTCAGTTCATGAAATCTTGGTGTATATGCTTAAGTCAGACATTGGGGTTACTCCAAAAAAGAGCAGAGCTGAATGGTTCTGCCTTGCCTTTGAGGGGAGGAGGAGAGGAGAGACCTATTGGTGATTGTACATATTAGGACCTTAATGGACCACCAAAACAAACTACTTTTCAAAGCTGACAGGTAGCAATGTTGTATCTCTTTAGAGTATCTGTTTATGTAATTATTTAACTCTAGTACTTAGATGTACATTTGCAGTGAGAATGTTGCTCTTGAAGCTTATGTGCAAGAACCTGCAGTTTCTTACATTTGTGGTATTGGTAGATTTTCCAGTCTCCTTGAACACTTAATAGTGAAAAGGTGCTGTAAATACAAAGGTTAAGCATGTAATTGGATTGGTTATATGCTGAGCATTAAGTGGAGCAGTAGGAAGAGCAGTGAGGTTGTGTGGAAAATAAGCAGTCCTCTCATTTTATTCCTTAAACCTGCTTTTAAATTTAAATTAATTTATCTTCGCTTTAAATAAAATACGACTTGTAATTTTTCTGTAACTTTCTTAAAAAGAGAATTTCATACACACAAAATGTGCAAGATTGACATGAGTGTAGATAGAAGTAAAAAACAAAACCAAAGCAGATGTTGCATCAGCAACAGTAGTCTCCATGAAGTGGCCTTGAAAAATCGCCATGAAAAAATTTGAGCCCTGGCACAGGCAATTCATCTTCTTTGTTCTGATGACTGGTTAATAATAAAAAAATGAATTTCACTTGCCTGTCTAAAGCAACTCTCTTCATGAGTGGGTAAACAGAACTTTGCAAAGCTGCTAAAGAGAGAAATTGGTGAGCTGTTCATATCAGTAAAAGGTTCTTGCATATGTATCCGTATACAAAAAGGAAGTATTTGCAGATGAAGGTATAGACAGAAAACTTTTTTTTTTTTTAAATAAAGAACACTTTGGGAAAATGGAGGCATAAATGCATGTAACATTAAGAAACCAGATTTCTTTGTTTTAATAATGTGCTGGTTCAAAATCTGAAAATTCAAAGTGGGAAAACATTTTCAGTATTTTAATAACTTTTAAAATAAAAATTAACTTTGTTTCCATAATCTTTTATTGTTCTTTATAGTTAACAAGCACAAGCCATGGATTGAAACGACATATCATGGTATAGTTACAGAAAATGACAACACAGTACTCCTGGATCCCCCCTTGATAGCCCTGGATAAAGATGCGCCTCTGCGGTTTGCAGGTACAGAATCTATCTTTATTGGTTTTTCCGTTGATGTAAGTTCTTGTTTGTTAGAGATGCTGTGTGTTACTCAGCATTTTTTTTCCTAATGAACTGCAGCTTAAGAATGCTTCCTAAGGTTTTCCATAGCAAATGTTGGTTCATGATACTGGGTTTGTGTTTAAAAGATACAGCTCTTCTAAACAAGAGGTTGTTGTATCTTGCAGACTAGAGGTTTTATGCTTACACATTTCACTTCACAAGGAACATCCAGACAGACTGGTACAAGTGTAGACTTTAACCATCTCTTAAATACTTGTGCTCCAGATAACAGTTGCACCATTCAACACAGAAAACGTTCTGCGAAAGTCCGTTTTCTTATCATTCTGAAAGGACCCACCATTTATCTTCATAGTCTTCTTGGCTTGTGCTGGTTCTCAATTATAGACTGAAGGGGTTTGGTGAGGGTATGATTAATTGCTATCAAGATTAATGTTGTGTTCCTTTTGCACCATTTTTGGATTGAGGTTTTCTGCAGAAATCCAAAGGGTCAGTTTATTCAGTAATGTTGGATAATCTTTGGAAATGGATATCTTTTTCTACCTCTACAGTCACTCAGTCTAGTAGTTAATGCTATCCATATGCTTCCTCTGTGTTAGGAGATGAGAAGATATCTTATTTGTCTGTCCTGTTTTCTATATTAAAGTTAGTATTATGGAGTATCTTAAGCATCTTTTTTTTATCCCAGTAATATAGCTTGTTAGCTGAGGATCCTTTAGCCTGAAGTATAATGTTAGAAATCTGATTGCCAATCAGAGTAGCCTGGGAAGAATTCTGCATCCTCTTGGTAGGGAGACTGACTGTTCCTCTTAAGCCCTCTCAAGTAACCAACCAAAACACCTCATGGTCTGTATGCAGAATGCCTTAGTTTCTATATTGAAAGTGTCATATATAGTTTGGCCTGTTCTTGCCATAGGGCAGAAAATATATCCAGAAAATTGAGTTTTGCATCTGCATATTGATCTATTTATAAATTCATGGTACGCCCACATCTTGAAAACTGCATGCAAATCTGGTCGCCCCATCTCAAAAAAGATATCTTGGGATTGGAAAAGGTACAGAAAAGGGCAACAAAAATGATTAGGGATATGGAAGCTGTTCCATATCCCTAATGAGAAGAAATTAATAAGACTTTTCAGCTTGGAAAAGAGACAGGTGGGGGGAATATGGTAGAGGTCTATAAAATTGTAACTGGTGTGGAGAAAGTAAATAAGAAAGTCTTGTTTATTCCTTCTCATAACACAAGAACCAGGAGTCATTTAATGAAAATAATAGGCAGCAGTTTTAAAACAAACAGAAGGAAGTATTTTTTCACATATTCACAGTCATTCTGTGGAACTCTCTGCCAGAGGATGTTGTGAAGGCCAAGACTATAACGGGGTTCAAAAAAGAACTGGGTAAGTTCATAGAGGATAGGTCCATCAATGGCTATTAGCCAAGATGGGCAGGGATGCAAAACCATGCTTTGAAGTGTCTCTAGCCTCTGTTTGCCAGAAGCTGGGAATGGGCTACAGGGGATGAATCACTTGGTTGCCTGTTCTGTTTGTTCCCTCTGAAGCACCTAGCATTGGTCACTGTCAGAAGACAGGATACTGGCCTAGATGGACCTTTTGGTCTGACCCAGTATGGCCGTTCTTAGAGTGCTTACTTCTGGTAGCTAATCATAAATGTACATCTTATCATTTTTATATCCCTTAAAAATCCCATCAAGTTACTATGGCATTATGGTAGTACTTAAAGGCTTCAGTAGAGGTGGAGACTCATTCTAGTAGGTGCCATACAGATACATAGAGTGCCAGTCGCAGTACCAAAGAGCTTTTAATATAAATAGACCAGAAAAATAAAGGGAGATAGGTAGTATTGTTATACTTTGTTTTACAGATAGGGAACTGAAGCACAGAGTAAGTGATTTGTCCTAGCTTGCACAAGACATCTAGGAATTGGATCCAGATCTCCTGGTCCATAAGCAGATGCCTCAGCAGCAAGACCATCCTCTTGCTAATGTGCTTCAAGTGAACACTAAAGAAAGCAGTCTCTAAGCTATTGGATAAAACGTTAGTTATTTGAAGATAGGCTGTGTTTTACTTTTTACATGGGAATAATGGCTTTCAGTTTCAGAAAGAAATTGTTGCTGATGACTATGTTTAAAGATACAGTAGCCAACAATGGGATAGTCTCTTTGCTTGGGCTAGATATAAGAAGATTGTGTTTGAAGGACATTTCGTGTTTTCAGCTCTCAGCCCGAATGAGATGTTTGTCTGCAGACGCTTTCTTGTATAAGTAAAATCTTAAAGAATCTAGAGTTCCTGTAAAATAGTTGGAACTAGAGGCAATTCAACATTCTAGGCCTTATCAAGTTTAGGAATTTATCTTTTATTTGCAGCCTGGCAATAAAGACTGGAAATGATATGGAAATGAACTTACTAAATCAGCAGCCAGCTGAAATGTTGAGTATTCTAATTGTGTCAAGTGTTATGGATGTACTGGTCACAACTCCCTAGCTAAGAGTGCACTTACAGCAGGGATTTAACCTCTTTTTGTATGAATATAAAGCCTATTCTGCCAAATATATAGCGCTTACACTTTAAGTACAGAACTAATTTTACAAGAATTTACAAGACAATCCACAAATTTATTTGAGCTGAAATTAATTTAAAACTGGGTCCTTTGACACAGGATGCTAAGCTTCATAGTCTCTTTTCCTTGTCAAGAATGATCTTAACAGGATGATACTCTTCAAACTGTCTGTATAGCTAAAAGTAACTGAAATCTTATGTATAGGCTATAATTTGAAGAAGTAGGCTGTAGCTGAGTTATAAATGACTATATCTAATTGTAGCTATGTAAACTACAGACAGGGTCAGGTCAACAGCTCAGGTAATTTTTAAGAGGAGCCATTGTCACCCTTCTTATACAGCTAATTTACATGAAACAATTACATTGGTTGTAATAAATCCACAATAGGAAGACTAGATAACTTGGGGGGAAATGTCTTTTAGAAATCAGTTTAATCTGGGACCATAAACACTTAACATTATAATGATTTTAAAAACTTATAACATGTCTTTACAGGACAGAGTTAAGATTCTTTGGTATCTTAATGTCTTTGGATTTCTTAAGTGTAACCATAACCCTGAATTTCGTGAATTTTGTAATGATTGGTTTTGAGAAAACTGCAGCATCCTGTAATGGTTCACCCTTAAATTAATGATATTTACATTCAATCTTTAAACTAAATTAAAATGTAGTTTATCTTGAAATTGGAGACTGTTCTAATTTACCAGACCCTCTAACAGCTAACTTAGAAAGATACTTATCTGTCGCAAGAACAGACTTAATAAAGTTCTAACCATCTAATTATTGATCTCCTCACTTGTGTGCATCTGTCCCTTCTAGTACAAGGGAAAAGAAAACCATGCATAGAGAGGTGGCTCTCAATAAGAGTATGTAGATCAGTTACCAGCTTGCTCCCTCCCCAGTGATTCTTAACCATGGGTATTCTTAGAATTCCATAGACTTCAGGTCTACAGTTCAGGACTTCAGTTGTTCTACAGGTATGCACAGAGACTATTAAACAAAAAATAATCTAATAATGATATAGGAAGACAGACCTTCTGTCCTGTTGATTAGGAAAAGAGGATAGGACTTCTTTCTTACTGTTCAGAAATACTTCAAATGCTTGCCTTAATAGTCAATTGATGCTATGCAGTAGTTTGTAAAAGCAACAGATTAGGTATTCTGTATCTGCTGGGCAGTAAATGTCTTGGTACATTTAAAGTATAATTAAGCTTTAAGAAAACACTTGCAGGATATGTTCATATACCATATCAAATTTGTGAAGGGGAGGCTCAAGATTAGAGCATCATGTTACTTTACAAAACAACTCCTGTGCAGTGGTAGCAGTAAAAATATGTATGTAAACCTGCTTTACCTTAGCAAGTGCCTGTGACAGTTGTAAGCTGACTTAATTGTGAGTTTAAATAAACATTAATACTGTGACTTCCAAGGAAACTAAAATTAGCAAAGTCCGAAGGGCAACAGTCTCAAATTGGCTAAGATCCTAGACTTTATATGGTGTACATAAACAAAATATGCCGAGGGCTTTCCTTTATGTATTCAGAGCTGGTGGACTCGTATATTTAAATTCCTGATGACAAATACATTATGAGAATTTCTAAAAGTATTTGTCTAGCATTAAATAGGACAGTACTCTAATTTCCTTTTGAGGAGTGAAGATGTGGGCTTGGTGCTGAATCAGCATGATGACCTAATCTGGATAATACTTTGCGGTGGCTTATGCATATCTTAGAACAGAGAATAGTATTGTCATTGTCCAGCATCATTTTTGTGGGTGTTTAAGTGAGAAACCCTGTTAGAACAGTGACAAAATGTTGTCATAGCAAAACAAAGAGCTTCAGATTAATTGTTTTATTCTGCTTTAAGTGGTAAAGACTTAAATTGGTTAGACATGCACAATTTGTGTTGCCTAAAAGAGCCGAAGTTCTAATAAACTGCCCTTGCTTGTAGAAATTAAACCACTTCTTAAACTCTAACTTGGTTTTAAAATATTTAAAGTGAACTATTTAACCACTCTGATCATCCTCCATGTTATCCATCTTGAAACCTGTCAATGTGCTTTAATAATGCATTGAATTGTGGGACAAGGAACAGCAGTATTTTTATGATTCATTAATATTGGTTTGCTCACTTGAATTGCACTATGGATGGTTCCCAATATTATGGCTTAACTATGATTACACATTCAAAGAATCCCAGGTGTTTGAAGCTAAATGTGATTATCCAAATATCTGCTTCCAAGTTGATTTGAGTGATTGGACATATGGAATATAGCATATTTAAATAAAAGCAGGGATCTGAATGTGGTCCTATCAAATTGCCTTGTCTTGCTTTCTGACGTCAAAGTAGTGCCTGTGTAATAAATCTTGCTGATACCCTATTATGTATCATGGGAATGCCTGGGGAGGATGACTGACAAAGTTGTGCAGTGAATCCTGTGTGAATATGGTCAAATATAACTTTTTTTTTTCCTGGGACAATCACATTTTGAGTATAAATGAGATCAAACTGTGTTTAAAAATCATGCTAATGCCTTAAATTCTTAGCATACAAGGAACTTCTATCTACACTTCAATAAGGAACTATGCTTTTATGGTGCTTGTGGCACTGGGTCCCTCAAAACTGTTGAATTTGCAGTGTTGATGGACTTTAAATGGGTTTAAAGTAGGACTTTGTTTGAGATGAGCCACTAGTGGAATTAAGATTCTTCGGCATGATTATAATAGAGTTTTTAAAAGGTGGTAGTTAACCACTCTTAAACCATGTTATTTAGCTTTCCCCATATTAATAAATATAAAGAGGGCCCCCACAAAAATATTTCTTGGACTAGGAATCTTTGTGTTTAGAGAGTACATGTGTATGCAACTCTGAAAAATGCTCTTGTAGCATCTCTGTTCATTCTCTTGAAAAACAAAAAACACGTCTGTTAGCCCCTTCCTGGAGATGCGTGTAACTCACATTTTCCAGTTGGTGACTGCTGTTGGTTTTTCTCCACACTGTACTGCCAGCCCTTGTTTGTTTAGGGCAGGGAACTGTGCTGACGTCCTGTCTGCAGCCTGCTAATGTGTAATGCGGCAGTCAACTGTATAGTGGCTCTAAATAAAGGATAGGTTGGGTAGATGAATGGCACAGTTTGTATAAAGGGTGAGCTTCCAAATGACTTCCACACTTCAAAGTCCTAGTAATAGAATGATACATGTCTGGAATTTGTTAGAACATATTCATACTTTCCCTCTTTGGAAGAAATGTTTTTCTCTTTGGAAGGGAGCTGGGATGAGATGCTGACACCAGTATTTTAAGAAGAATTTAGACATCAAACTCTTTATGCCCTCTAGTTCTAATATTTTAAAAACTAATTTTCAGTAAAGTATTTTACATCAAAGTACAGCATAATACCATGAGAGCCTAAAAAATATTACTCTCATCAGAGCGTGCTGCAACAAAACAGTAAAAAGTTCCATGATAAAGAATGCCCTTAAGGAGACTGGATTATCTGTTTTCAGGCTTCAGTAAGGTGGATAAATAATCTTGTCAGTTTATACTGAACTGTATCTAAGTTTTGCTTAGCTACAGAGATGAAAATTTATCAAATGATAAACTAATATTCAACATGCTAATTGATTTCCGTTCCCTTCTGGGTGTGGCAGCGATGGAACCATGTTTCACCTCAGTTCCAGAATGAGATAAGAAAGCTCTGACAAAAAGCATTGCTATATGAAGTAGATATAATGTAGCATGGTGCTTGTTCTTATTGGGCCGGTTTAGTGCTTGATGCATTATATGGAACTTAACTTTGCTGTGTCAGGATGAAGAAATTTACTAAAAAGAATTGTTTAATCATACGAAAGCTCTTGATGTACCAGGCTCCTGAGTTTTGCTGCAAAATCTCCATTATTAGTTGTACTGATTTAAGGTGTATGTTATCCGTGCGCCATCTGCACATTGTCTTGTCCATCTTGATATATGCTCTGTAATAATACCTTTAACTTGGAGGGAGAAGAGGGAGCCTGTACCTTTGAAATATTTTGTACTTTAGGAAACTGAAATGTTCTGTTTTGCTGCTTATGTTAGAGACCATTTGGGGGGAAATAGCTGGTATTATCTGACAAGCTCTGCTCAAACTTGAAGCTGCATATGGTCTGTTAACAGCAATTTATCGTAACTAACAGTTCGTTATGGGCTTCAGCTTTTTGATGCATAAGTCCCTTTCTTTGTAATGTCAGAGTTTTTGTTCCATAATGTTTTTTAAAATGGGCTTTTTATTAAAATAAGATCTCGTTACAATGAAATGGTAAAAGTTAACATATTGGGTAGATTCTTGTTCTGATAAATTGAACTGCAGTATATCTTGAGCAGAGACTTTAATACCCTTGGGAGTATCTGGAGACACATGAGTATTTATCAGGAAGATTAGTTGTGGATTACTGTAGTGGAGGGATGCCAAGGAATGTAGTACTTGAATTGCCTAGTGGCAGAGGTTGGCATTGGTGCTAGAGTTAGAGTTCAGTTCATCAAGAATTGAACAGCTCTTTTTTTCCTCCTAATAAAGACAACTGTCACATTAACACACTTCAATACATTAAGCCCAATAATGCGTGTTGGGGTTATTCTGCCATATCATGGCCCTGCAGTTATGTAGTCTTCTGTAACCTTAATGCCTTGCACAGAATGCTTGACTCCCTAGGTGGGGTGTGCTCAGTACTTAAAAGCATGCAGTTGTGTTATAGTCATTTTTCTGTAGCTTTAGCCAGGAATTTAAGAAGCGTCCAGGTTTTTTTTGAATAATCATGTCATTAAAAATACCTTAAAATTCAGGATTATACTTATGTAAAATACCTTGGAATAGTTTGTACGGAAGCCCTAGGGGATCATAAACCTGGTGCATTAAAATAAGGAGCTGATTATAAACCTGTGGTCTTCAGGGATAACTTCGTAAGAGGTGATTTCAGAAACTAGCTCCTTTATAATAAGGATCCACTATTTAAAAGTGAGGCATTCTGCAGTAATTTTTCCTTTATCCTGTAGGATACGTGTGCTTTAGTATTGAACCAATATTTTGTCTTGTACTTATAAACATAGCATTGGTCTGTTTGCTGCATAGATAATCTCTTTTTAGAGCCAATATTTAGAAGTTTACTATTGCACACTTATGTATTACTAAAATAAATGAGAATTAACACTGGTTCCACTTGACTTGCATATTAAGAGTCGGCTTTTTCTGTAACTGCATTTCAGATCAAAGATCATAGTAGTCAAAAGTGTAATGTTCAGCAGTGTGTAACAAGTGCAAATTCATAGTTTAATACTATAATTTCTATTTGGATAAAGCATACTGTCAGCTGTATCTAGTAATCATGTGTCCAGATTCAAGAAGTTAAGCGGCTGAGTGTGGCTGGGTAAGAGGAGTGGAAATTATTCCTTGTTCATTAAGTCTGGAAAATATACTTGAGGGTATAAAAAAATGGGGGGTGGAAAAGGTCTTCCCAAGTTAAAGCTTTTTTTACGTTGAGTACACTGCTTAAGTTAACATAAATGTTCATTTTAAATCCTGAATTAAAGAAATACTGTGAAGTTAAATTTGACATTGAACTTAGTTTGCGAACACAAGTTATTATAGAACCTATACCGATAGAAATGTTTTCAGGACACACAAAAATCCAGTGGCAATGAAGAAATCTTTGCTGTCTGCAACCCCATACATTGCATCATTTAGTATGAAAACTTGGTGGTGAAACTGATGAATGTTTGCATTGTTCAAGCTGTGAGAAATGTTAACTGTAAATAAACTTCATTAATGGTGAAATGTAAATTAGATTTAAAAAAAACTTTAGAAACCTGAAGTGGGGATAATAACCTTAAGTAAAATTTTAAAAAGCCAAAAAATTTTAAAAAGCCAAACCCCTATTCAGGATGTATCCCTTAAATAGAGAGACTAGTGTACACTAAGTTCAGTGAGAATTCAACTTGATGGAGTTCTGCAAAAACACAGAAGTTCACTTAGTATCTACCTGTTTAACACATGAATATCCAGTTTTATCACCAGTACCCAATAAGGGAATATGAAATCTTTTTACAATCTGAAAGCAAGTATTAATTTAACCTGAGAATTTCAGTGTATGATAAACTGACGGCTGAGGTTAAATCACATTAGTGAATGAGGCTCTAGATTTGTAACAGTTAAGACCACTGGAATTTGTTCATACAATTTTGTCCAAAGCTTTTCTGTGTAATGTGTGCATCTTTGACTTTTTCCTTATTTGCTCCCTCTTCAGTCTTTCCTGTATTACTGACTTGGGTTTATCTTTTCTCCCTTTAGAGAGTTTTGAGGTGACAGTCACCAAAGAAGGTGATAAAGGGTTCTTTCTATCCCTTTTATGAATATTAACCCACTAACTTTGGTTATGAAATGGGGAATCAGCACCTAAACAGAAGATCCTGTCATGCTCTTTTACCCCCATTTTATTCTCCCAGTTTTTTTCTATTTTAAAATATATTGATAGAAACTGTTATGTAGCCAAACCCTTGGTTAGAAATATCTTTAAATCAGACATCCATTTGAACTGTTTGGGATTATATTTAGGATATATGAACACTGCAGTTAAGCTTTGGTTAAAAAATAGTACTTTCACTTGTAGCTTACATTTTTGGGGCATCTTAGGTTTCTCCCACACATTTTTTGAAGAAGTAATATAATTGCCAAAACATAGCCACAACCTGCAATACACTTTCCTCACTATATGATTAAGTAGTAATAGTAGATCTGATTTATAATCCAGTTTATAAATAGTTTTAGACATAATGAAAGTGATTTACTTTCTAGGTTTCTTTTTTAGGTCTGTTAGAAAGAAAAGTCTGACTAGAAAGGAATATCTAGTAAATCCCTCTACATGAAATAACTGTCAAGATTTAACATAATTGGTATATTAGTAGACAGCGTTGAAATGGATGCCTGAAAAGTTGGTATTTCTACCTTTCTCATTCAGTAGTTTATTTTGATTCCCTAATTTTAGCCAGGTACATTGCACAGGAAGACTTTGTCCTTTTGACCTGTTGACAGAATTTCTGTAATTGTGGTGCTGAACCTCTACCTGAAGCTTCTTCACCTTTCAACTTGTAAATGTGCATTTTAACCTTCTGCTTTGGTCAAAGTAAACAAGCTGCTCAGCTATTCCCAGTAGCTTGGCATAGAAGATATTACCAGTGGCCTTGGCTGTATGCTCTCATAAGATCTACTCTTACCCTAGAGCTATCTCAAGTACTCCTGTGAAATGCCTGTCTACGTTTCTCTTTTGTATTCCTGCATGAATGGATGCAAAGTAAACAAGTTGCTTGGAAGGCAGACATATGCTTTTTTTACTAAATTTCTCGGAACTCACCCATTTTAAAGCACAGTGCTCTTGCTTTGTCCACAGACCCTCACAAATCCCTGGCTGCAAAATACTGAGTCATTTACATTTGAAAATGCATGGAGAGGTTTTTGACTGAAATTCTAACCTGTGCTGCTTTGAATCTCTAGGTGAGATTTGTGGATTTAAAATTCATGGGCAAAATGTCCCCTTTGATGCTGTGGTAGTGGATAAATCCACTGGTGAGGGAATAATACGCTCTAAAGAGAAACTTGATTGTGAACTACAGAAGGACTACACATTCACCATCCAGGCCTATGATTGTGGAAAAGGACCAGATGGCGCTAATGCAAAAAAATCCCACAAGTAAGTAAATCTGTGGGTGGCTGAGGGGAATTTCAGTTTAAGTAGTCTTCTGATTGATGTGGCCTATAGTCTGTATATTAAAAATTATATTAATGCAAGTGGTTCAAAGCAAAACGAGAATTGCTTTGAAGTCGCTACACGTAAATTCTAGGGTGTAGTGACTTATTTGTCCTTTGACATATTGACACCTCCGGATGTTCCACAGGAAACTAATGTGCTAAATTAGGCTAAATTGGAAATACTGAGGAAAGCAGTTAAAATCCCATGAGAGCAAGGACCTCCAAGGGAAACTTAGCTGAAAGAGTAGTCCAAAGAAAATCTCTCCAATAGGTGTTAGTATTGTGGAGGGGTAAAGGAACACATGCTTCTGTAATTTCCAAGCAGCCTGAATAGAAAATCAAATTGTTGGTTTAAGATTCCTCTCTTTCTAGATTAAAACAACAATACCAGAGCAATCTGCTCTTTATGTAGATGGAAAGGAAATAACCACATAGTAACATCTGCTTTAAAAATAATACAGCACTTTGGAAGAAACATCTGTACAGCATGTGGCAGACTACTGGTAGTGCTCAGGGAAGAAGGGCATAAACAAGATGAGGATTGGGTCAGGAGGAGATGTCATTATTTTCCTAGCTATATATCTTACCTAAGGTAAAGGGGATACAAACATGGGAAGCCTTTTCGTAGGGAAAGATGCTGTAGGAAAAGTGATATTTAGGTAAACGAAATATTTGATAATACAATCAACTATTGAAGAAATACTCAAAAGGAAAAGATTACAAACCACTTCAGAGACTGGGTGGAATTCTATCCTCTGTAAAGTGTGGCTTCATGTGACTCCCTCTGCACAGCAGCTGTTCATTTTGTAGTAGAATTTGCAATTTTCAGCCACTTTTCCCCATTGCTGCAGGAGATAGACCAAACACAAAATGGCAGAGTCCTGTGGCACGTTATAGTCTATAAGGTGCCACAGGACTCTTTGCCACTTTTACAGATCCTGACTAATACTGTTACCCTTCTGATACCAAACACAAAATGTAAATGCCAGTTCCCACCAAAAGGAACATTGGCTAGATACAAAAGGGAAGACAAGCGGAGTCAACAGTTTAGAGCAAGTCCAGTGCATGGGTAAAAAAGCAACAGCACTGTGATACTTGCTTCCTAGAGCATCAATAAACGACTGCTTAAACCCACCCCCGGTGTCAAAAACTGCACTTTCACTTTGTGGGTGGCTAGGCTCTTAGTCATCAGCTCTGTATTGCTCGTTCTCTTGGTGTTGAAATATGTTACTCTCATACAAATTATTGAGAATGTACTATCCTGAATCTCCTTAACTGATGTGTGGCAATAAAGTTAATCTCTTCCTGCTGATGAAAATGTATCCTGCATTAAAGGAAATTTAAATATCTAGCAAGTCTCTTTGCACTGCATTTGTTGGCCATATTGGCTAAAATAAGCCCCCTTTTTAAAAGAGAAACTCTTAGGTAAGCATTAGAAATATTTACTTCTGGAGGACGGAGGCATTAATAAAATGTTTCTCTCTAATGTTTTTACATTCCTGACACTTGTTCCATGATTCACACTTTGCTCTTTGTTGTTTTCTTCATTGACACATTTTTCCATTCTGTATTTACGCACACACTGTGACAAGTGCAAGAGGAAAGGCACTGTGTCCCAGACTTTCTGGGATTACTTGGCTCATGATAAAATATTTTAGATGGGTTTTCTGCTATTTTCATAATCTCTGACCTTTCACTTCCCCCTACAAAAAAAGAGCTAATTTTGTTTTAGCTGACTTACACAACTTGATATATTCTTATTGAAACAAAACTAGTCTAATGTTCTTGATTGAGCCAGTAGTCTGAAGCCTGACTTCTAATTGTCATTTTATATTTGTTTTCCATAACAAATTGTTAATTAAAACATAATATTAGGTGTAGTATAAGCTTGCTATCTGATGGTGCATGATAGCAGAAAGGGATAGTAGCGTGTTTGAAGCACACAATTGATAATCAGATATTGAGGTTTTATTCCCAGTTTGCCACAAATTTTAGTTTTTTAACCTTTCTTTGCCTCACTTTTCCTCTGTAAAATGGCAATAACTTACTTATTGCACAGGGGTGTTGAGGACTTATTCCTCCTGGGGGAATTCTGCACCACTGTGCATGTGCAGGATTTATGTCCCCTGTAGATTTCTTTGCTTCCCTACAGAAAAATTACTTTCTGATTGCTCCTTCGGCTACAGGGGGAGGAATCACTGTACACGGAGCTGCTCCCCCACCAGCCATGCATCCACACACTCGCGCTGAGCCAGACCCCCACTCCCCCTGCTCCTGGGCCACCCAGATGAACCACAAGCACCCAGATCCCCAGCATACCCCCAGATTTCAACTGACATTCCTATGTTAGTTGAATGGCAGCTCTCTAACATTCCTATTTCACCCAGTGTTAAAAGCTGACCATTCTGTCTCTTCTCCAGAGCAACAGTACATATTCAGGTGAATGATGTTAACGAGTATGCTCCAGTGTTTAAAGAGAAGTCCTATAAAGCAACAGTTATTGAGGGGAAGAGGTATGACAACATCCTGAAAGTAGAAGCTGTGGATGCAGATTGTTCTCCCCAGTTCAGCCAGATATGCACCTATGAAATTGTAACTCCAGATGTTCCCTTTGCTGTTGACAAAGATGGTAAGAACCAAGGAGGGGGGAGAAATTGTTCTAACGTGGTACTTTAGAATAATGTTTCAAATTTGGTCAATGTCAAAATAAAATTAGTGCTTCAGAGTATTCTATTACAAACTTAAATCACTCCATTTTATAATCTAGTTCTACAGTGTAACTGAGCAGACATATTTTTGTGAGCATTTTAGAGTCCTGTTTGAACTGTATATAATATAAGGTAGGTTGTCTTTCACCATTAGTATGAACCTCGCTATTTCACCTGTCTAACATATCTAGCTTCCACAAGTCTACATTCAGTGCCACACTCAAATAGCAGTGACTTCAAGTGTTTGCTGCTTCTGAAATTTTATTTTGTTGGAAAGTGTTGTGTCCGTGTCCAGCGCGCCATCCATATTCTCTCCCCCCCCCCCCCCCGCCAATATTTTAGAACCCAGGGACCAAAGAGAGCAGTTTCTAAGGCATTTGCTGTTTTGGTCAGGAAGGACAGTCTTTTTCAAACTTCTGTAGCATGTTTAATTTTGGGCTTTATTGAAGAAGCTGGTGCCAAGTTCAGGTCTTATGGGATGTTAACCATGAAGTACAGAGCCTATGGTCTGCTGCTGTTTTGTCTTTTAAAAACAGCAATGTAGATATACCATGTTCTAAACCAGCTGTTAAGATGTTTTTCTTTCTATAACTGTTCTTCCGTATTTAGGATTGGTTTTACAAATAAACTTTCTATAAAGCTTGAAAACACCATGTAAAACCTTATTTAAGACACAGAGAGGGCTTGAGAGGTTACACTATGGAGTGGAGGATGCTGTGGTCAATGAAAAGTACAAATTTAACTTGCTCCCTGAACTGTGAAGGCCACATACAGTTAGAGTTCTCACTCCTCATCTGCAGACAGTTAAATCTTTGGTTTTATTGAAAGATTTACACTAACATAATGAGCTGCAAAAAGACAGTGCTAAGACTGCATCTGCTGCTGTATTTATTTGTGTTAATCTTCTGGATTTAATCTTAAAGAATTGAGTTTGCTGTTTAGGGTATTACACCCACATAAATTGAGGGAAGGGTTAATTAAATTACTTAATTACATGTTACTATCCAAGTCTTAGCACCTGGAGGGGAAAAAAGTATACTTAATGAAGCTGAGTCTAAAAGATGAACATATATTTGCTGTTAATTGGCTCTCCACTTTTGCCAGGTTATATAAAAAATACAGAAAAGTTAAACTATGGCAAGGAGCACCAATATAAGCTTACAGTGACTGCATATGACTGTGGGAAGAAAAGAGCTGCTGAGGATGTATTGGTGAAGATTAGCATTAAGCCTACATGCAAGCCTGGCTGGCAAGGTTAGTTCAATCCCCTCCTTTCACCAGCTGCTATTACTTTACTGCAGTTAAACACTGGTAAACACCAGAGATCTCTAATCTTATTTCTTTGTGTGGATATACAGGCTGGAGCAAAAGAATGGAATATGAGCCTGGGACTGGTTCTCTGGCTCTATTCCCTAATATACATTTGGAGACCTGTGATGAACCCATAACTTCTATACAAGCAACAGTTGAACTAGAGACTAATCATATTGGGAAAGGTTGTGACAGAGATACTTACTCTGAGAAATCCCTTCACAGACTCTGTGGTAAGAATGCATTGATTGGTTTGAAACTGAGTAAAAGTCAGAATAAGGAATATCAAACGAATGGGCAGACTCAATAACGAGTCAGTACAAAAGTTGCCCCAAAATCTTATCTAGCAGACCTTTATATACTTGGTGAGTCTGACTGAACTTGATGTTTTCAAATGACTATCTCATCAGAGGAAGAAGAATCATATTGTAGTCCCCTTTTAACCTCCCTATTCTCCTATTTTGGGCAGTAATTTCTCTTACTGGTGAAAAATGCTCCAGAATTGAATGACTGGGGGTGTGTGTGGATGTTCATCATTATTGAAAACTGCCTATTTTTCAAGATGCAGGACAAATGTGGGGGTGTCTTTTCAGAGGCCGTGATGAAGAGATGGATTATAAAGTGGAGAAAATAAGTCCTGGAATGAAGGACTTCACTTAAACCAGCTAAATCTATGCTCTGTTGCATAGGGGCTAGAGGGCCCTTTTGCATTCACCTATGCTCTGATTAGGAGGATTAAAATTCGTGAGCCCCTCCGATGCAAAATGAAAGGATAGAAATTATGGGCCAGTCTGTCAATGATGTTCAGCACCTTCAGTTGAAGTCACCCAAGACTGTGGGTGGTTCAGCACCTCTGGAAGTCTGGCCATATGCTTATAATGGCCTGTGTTGCCAAACCGTCTCATTGGGTGTGAGAAGGAAATTCTCCTCCCAAAATGTTAACTGAGGCTATGTCTACGCTACAGTTTCGTCGACAAAAGTTATGCCTCTGTTGCATGTCTGCACTGTGCTCACTGTGTCGGCAGAGCGCATCCATATTAGCAGCTCTTGCATTGACACAGAGAGCAGTGCACTGTGGGTAGCTATCCCTCTGTGTGCAACTGGCGGCAGGGTGCTTTGGGAAGGATTTGCAATGCCTCATGGGGCAGGTATAGCATCACATGATGCAGATTTCTCAATCCCATCTTCCATGTGCATCCAACTAGATTGCCAGCCACTTTTCAACTGAAGTGTTGGGGGAGAGTATTTGTGGGGGAGAGACAAACTAGCATGTACTGGGGGAGTGTGTATGTGCGAGATACTGTGTGTGTGTTGGGGGGAGAGTGAGTGTGTCGGCGTGCTGTCTCTTTAAGTTCAGACAGAGGCTGGAGCAACCAGTCCTGCGGCAGGGAGAGGGGGACACTTCCCCCCCATATTAATCACTGCTTCCCTCCCTGGCTCTGCACAGCAGTTGTCCTTGCCCCCTCCCCCTTCCAGCAGTAGCCTGTCTGCCCCTGTGTTCCTGTTGCTTGGGGAAAGCAGGATTTTGGGTTAATGATTTGCTATTTGCTGCCATATGCTTAGCTGTCAGAACTTCCCAGAGATTTAAAAACAGAGAGGCGCATGCCTGCGTAGCTGTATGCAGTGCGGCAGAGTTCGAAACAGTGAGCAGAGTGGTCATGGTGGGCATTGTGGGATAGTGGGGGAGGCCAATTATGGCAACATAATGAATGGCAGTGTCTACACCAATGCTTTGTCTCTTTAACTTTGCTGCAAAAAGCTCTATGTCCCTTGTCAAGGTGGCTTTATTTTGTCGGCAAAACAAGACTTTTGCCAACAAAAGTAGCATTATGGTATGTACATCTCTACTGTTTTGTCAGCAAAAGCTGCCTTTTGCTGACAAAACTGTGTAGTATAGATAAGGCTTAAACTTATTCTCTGTCCCTTATCATCTCTCCTCTTTACACTATTGTCTTTATAATGGTGTAAGTTTTACATGAGCAATTCTGCTTACTCAGGGGCTGAACTTGACTTGTATGTAGGTTTTAGGTGGATACCTGTGTGCAGCAGTCTTATTATCTGCTGAAACTTTAACCAATAACATCCATATTTGTGAGCTTTACTTAATATTGTGGCAGTTCCTGAGCTGCTGGCACTATTAATCAATGCAGAAGTCTGGTGTGCTTCACTGTGACATCAGTTACCCTGGATTTGGAGTTCTGAGTAAACAGAATGCTGAGCTTCTTTTAGGGAGTGGATATTTTGCATGATTAAACGGCCATTCTTGTGACTGATTTGGGCTCCAAAGGGAATCTCATCCAGCCCTCTTTAACCAGAAGAAGTAAAGATCTCAAGACTGGTAAAGAGTTATAACAGGAGAAAAGTGGTGTCATCCTCATGGCTCTGGAATTCAGGAAGTAAAATGCCTTAATGTATGATATTATGACTCCTAGCATAAACAGTGACAAGGAAGCTCTAGGTAGGCAAAGCCTAGAGAGCAAACATTGTTTGCTACATTGGATGTCTACCAAGAGGTTAAATGGCTGGAACAAGTAATTCAAAGCTGTTAGGCCTGACCATGTTTAACTACATTGCAATTTAATTTAAAATTGCTTGGTGCATGACACTAATACAGGATTCTTACAGCTAATGCTGAAAGGTTAGTTAGCAATCAAAACAAACGAACAATTTGGTTTGACACCAATTCTTAGATTCCTTCTGTGTGTTTTTAGTAATATACTTTTATTGTAGGTGTTTCCTCTGGCACAGCTGAGCTGCTTCCCCCTCCAAGTAGCACTGCTAACTGGACAATAGGACTTCCTACTGATAATGGCCATGACAGTGACCAAGTCTTTGAATTTAATGGCACTCAAGCTGTGAAGATTCCAGATGGCATTGTCACAGTCAATCTAAAAGAGCCCTTTATGATTTCGGTGTGGATGAGGCATGGGCCTAGTACCAAGGAGAAGGAGACAGTACTCTGCAATTCAGACAAAACAGGTTTGTAAATACTTCAATTGTAAACAGTCTCTCTTTGGTTTTGGTGATATGTTTGTTGCAGGTCACTCAAGGCTCTTCTAGATTAGATGCACTTTGGAAGCAACAAGCCACGCTGAAAAACTCACTTTTATTCTGGAGTAATATCCAGGTAGGAAGTTATATTGGCATAGCTAGAACAGTATAATTATACAGCTGTAGTTCTACTGATCAATTTTCCTGTGTAGACAAGCCCTTAGAGTATTTAGTTTTAGTGTAGATAAAGGGAACTTGATACCAGTTTCTTTATACTATAGAGATTTTAGCCATTGTGATATACCAATTGATCTGGCAGTACAATCTGTTTAGATTGTGTTATTTGAAAGAACCTCATTCTTGATACTTCATGACTATCATGAGGCTATATGCAGTAGGTTTAGCAATATGGATCCTCACTGTTCTGTTCTGTTCTCTTTTTTTTTAAAGAGGATTGAATGTGAAATATTTGCTTCTAGGGGAAAATAGCTCTCTCCCTCTCCTTCCACCCCCTCCGTGGTGAAGCTGCTCTTATCCTTTGAATAGTTTCTGTGAATGCTTCAAACACCGTTTTGAAGACAGTATTTGTGATGGGTTTGGTCACAGAGACCCCCTTGGGACTGTTGCCTGTCATGCTGAATTTACCTCTGAGCCCATTTTCCCTGCCAGCTTGGGATTCCAGAACCCTGCCTTGTTGAGCCAGACATGCTAGCTTGCTGCAACACAGACCAAGGTCTGGTCCACGCCCCCAAAGCTGCAGACTTTAACCAAAAACTGCTCAGCAGGTCACCTATCTCCAGCACCCAGATCCCAATGGGATCCAAACTCCAAATAAATCCGTTTTACTCTGTATAAATCTTATACAGGTTAAACTCCTAAATTGTCCCTCCTCTATAACACTGATAGAGATTCACAGCTGTTTGCCTCCCCTGGGTATTAATCACTTACTCTGGGTATATCAATAAACAAAAGTGATTTTATTAAGTATAAAAAGTAGGATTTAAGTGGTTTCAGGTAATAACGGACAGAACAAAGTAAGTTACCAAGCAAAATCAAACAAAACACACAAGTCTAAGCTTAATACATTAAGAAACTGATTACAAATAAATCTCACTCTCAGGTGTTCCAATAGGTTTCTTTCGCAGACTAGACTCCTTCCTAGTCTGGGCCCAATCCTTTCCCCTGGTACAGTCCTTGTTAGTTTCTACAGGCGTTTTGGGTGAAAAGCAGGGACTTTCTCATGACTGGGACCCCTTTTGTTCTGTTCCACCCCCTTTCATATGTTTGGCACAAGGCGGGAATCTTTTGTCTCTCTGGGTTCCCACCCCTCCTTCTAAATGGAAAAGCGCCAGGTTTAAGATGGATTCCAGTATCCGGTGACACATTCACTTGTCCTGTGAGACCCCCTCCATTCTTCCAGGGCTGGTCCGCACATATACAGGAAGGCTTGCAAGTAAAGAAACCATTTACAACCAATTGTCCTAGTCAGTGAGAGCCATCAAGATTCTAAACCACCATTAATGGCCCACACTTTGCATAATTACAGTAGGACCTCAGAGTTATATTTCATATTCCTAGTTTCAGATACAAGAATGATACATGCACACAAATAAGAGGAATATATTCAGTAGGTTATATGATACTTTACAAGAGACCTTTTGCCTGAAGCATATTCCAGTTACATCATATTTATACTCATAAACATATTTTTACAAAGTATATGGTGTGCAATGTCACTGTATTGGTACAAAAGAATATCTGATAACTCTTCTTTTGTAATTGCTTACTGATAGAGTACAAGATTCTTGCCTTTGTTAGCTAGAGCAGGGGATTTGTTCAGTGATTTTTAGAAGAAGGCTTTCTGGGTAACAAGCTGTCTGGTCTCTAAAAGGAAGCCAAGCCAAAAATACAAGCAAAGCAAAACAAAACAGGCCCCCTATCATTAACAGAATTGAATTTGATCAAAAGAGAGAGAGACATCTCTTTACATCTGATCTAAGAAATATTTTTCAACCTACTGCTGATACTGTCTACCTAGTAGCAAAGATCATTCTTTGAAACTTTTTTGTGTGTGTTTGCTTGAGAGTATCAGATAGGATCAACAAAGAATCCTTGGAATTATTGGAATCCTTGAAGTAATTTGAATGAGAAAAAATAAACTTAGTTCAGAGTTGTGCCCTATTTTAACAGGGGAGGGAGGTGTACAGAGGTGGTATGCAGCATATTTCCAAAACAGGCTGCTTTTTCTGCGCAGTTATGCATATTCCAGTATTATTTGAGGTTGATAATTTCTGAAATTATGAATCCCTTTCATCTTCTTTTCAGCAGGATATTATACAGTTCCTTTTTTAAAAAAACTAGGTCTCTTATGTTTAATCATAATATGTTTCTATTCATAATACATTTGTGCTGTTGGGATGGGAAACTACAAGGTTTGGGGCTTTTCCTTTCTCTCCCTCCTTGGCTGATTTATGCAAGATATGGGTAACCTGAATTAAAATTACTTCATCCTCACTCTCACTTCCTTGTATCTCCTAACATCTTCCTTTTATATTTAGTTTAGATCCACAGTTGTCAAACTGTGGGTCAGGACCCCAAAGTGGGTTGCAACCCCATTTTAATGGGGTTGCCAGAGCTGATGTTAGACTTGCTGGGGCCTGGGGGCTGAAGCAGGAGTCCCACTGCCTAGGGCTGAAGCTGAAGCCTGAGGGCTTGAGCCCTGGGCAGCAGTAGTCAGGCTTCAGCCTGGGTAGCGGGGGTCAGGTTACAGTCTCCCCCACCTGGGCTGAAGCACTCAAGCTTTGGCCCCCCCTCCTGGCTTTGTCCACCCACCCCCTGTGCAGCAGGGGTTGGGCTTCAGCTCTGGCCACCCCACCAAGGGCGGTGAGGGTTGGGTTTCAGTCCCCCTTCCTGGGGTCATGTAGTAATTTTTATGTCAGAAGGGGGTCACGGTGCAGTGAAGTTTGAGAAACCCTGGTTTAGATTGTTAATTCTTTAGGGCATGGACCATATGTGTTTAATATCCTCATGAAGCATCTTTCCTACCTATAGTGCTATATACATGTTAAATGGTGTTAATTATCAGCAAGATATGCTGTTTAATTGGTAACAGAAGATTTTTCACTACCCACAATTTGAATTTTGTTCGATTTTCTCCTATTGGTAGGCTTACCCCTGTGATGCTTTAGTCCTAGTCCTTGGTTAGGAAGGGGAAGGAAGAACATGTGTCTTATTAGCTATGATGTTATCAGTATTACTGTTGGATTGTTTAGGAATGGATGACCTAAAACTGCTTCCTGGGCACTTCTTTTCCCTTGAAGCTATAGCATGCTTGATTTCTTTTAAATCTGTCTCGTGCTCTCATTTGTGAAGCTTAATACTATTCTGTAGGACGGTATTAATAGCACATTCACATATCAGTCATGTAGTTTAGGGTTACGTGAATTCTCAACTATCGTTTCCAGTTCTAGAGTTTTTAGGGCACAGGGCAATGGGAAAGAGTAACATTAATGTAACCTTTTGTGCAGATATGAACCGGCACCACTACTCTCTTTATGTACACAATTGCCGACTTGTTTTCCTCTTCCGCCAAGATCCTTCAGAGGGAAAAACTTACAAACCTGCAGAATTCCACTGGAAACTGAACCAGGTGAGTATGAAAAGGGTACTTGTTAAGAAATTACAATTTAAGTATCCATAGGAGCCTAAAACAGCATGATAGTTTTACTTGTAAATTAAGTCTTTGTGGCAATCCAAACTCCTTATTCCACAGTTTACTAAAATAAACTGAACTGTGTTTTATAGTTCTAAAGTTTCAAGGCCATATTCTGCTATCCTTATTCATGTAGAGTTACATCTTGCTTCTGTAGTGTCCCTCAGGAAGTCAATGGGGATTAGTTATGGAATACAGTTCAACTCCGTATGAGTAAGGGTGGTAGAAACTAACTTTAGGTGAGTAAATTAAGTGTTTAAAAGATAGGAACCAGATTTGGTGGAACTTGTCTCCATTGAACACAATAAAAAATGAATGACCATTGTACTTACAAGTATTCCCATGTGTTTATAACAATTAAGTACTTGTGAGCATATGACTTTTTTGTAGCCAAAGAATGTAATAAGATAAACTGTTTTTTAATTTTGCACACTGGAAGAAAAATTTTCCTGACACCATGTGCATTGCTGGCGTTAGATAAGCAAACTGACTTATTGGTAAAGCAATTTTTGTAATATTGGTAGCAGTCATGATCAGGAAGACTAACATTAGAGAGTTTAATTTTTTTTTTATTGGACCAATAAATGTGAGCAAAATAAGTAAATTTGTGTGGTTAATAGCTCTCATATAGAGGTTCCTTTAACTGCTTCCAGCTAATGTTGAGGATCTGTTTGTTTGCTGCCAGTTATATAAGCAGTAAGACACATCTGAATTTCTGATGCTGGAATCAGAGTAACAGCCGTGTTAGTCTGTATTCGCAAAAAAGAAAAGGAGTACTTGTGGCACCTTAGAGACTAACCAATTTATTTGAGCATGAGCTTTCGTGAGCTACCGCTCACTTCATCGGATGCAACCGATGAAGTGAGCTGTAGCTCACGAAAGCTCATGCTCAAATAAATTGGTTAGTCTCTAAGGTGCCACCAGTACTCCTTTTCTTGATGCTGGAATGTAACCACACAATTAGTAACTTTCTAGCATTCTTCACATACTGGCATATGCTGCTGTGATTATAAAATGGCCTTGTGCATAGGTATAGTGAGTTGACAACATTCCCATAATTGCAACCAGCTTCCATTATTAAAGATCTCTGATTTTGGCTTGGGACTCTTTTTTTTTTTTTTAGAAATTGCCATATTTATATATTACACAGAATACTTCAGCAGAACAGGATAAAAATTTTTCAAATAGTGTTTTAATATGGCAGTGTACTAAATGTACTCCAGTGAGTACTTTTCTTTTCTGATTTCGGCTGTGCTGTGTTATAGGTTTTGTAAAAATTAAATTCATTGCACAGAAATATTTGCCCATATGGTGACTTTGCAACTTTCCTTTGTTGGCAATAGAAGAAACTATTAATGGATTTAACACAGACAAGCTTCTTTGGAAACAGCTTTGCTGTCCACAACTTTATTTATATACTTAAAAAAAAAAAATTGTTTCTTGGACAAAAATTTTACTTAAGAAATAAAAGGTGGTGGAACTCTGTTTTTAAACATTACCGGTCTTTCTCTTCCCAGGTGTGTGACAAGGAATGGCATCATTATGTCCTCAATGTTGAATTTCCAACAGTGACGCTCTATGTAGATGGAGTTTCATATGATCCTTTCCCAGTGACTGAGGATTACCCACTACATCCTTCCAAGATAGAAACTCAGCTGGTAGTTGGAGCATGTTGGCAAGGTAATGATTAATTTCTCATTTCCATGAATGGTTAGTTCTCTTCAGGGCAATGTAAAAAGCAATCTTTCATCTCCTACAGATTTTTTCCTCTGGCCCACTATCCCATATTTCTTCTTTAATTTAGTCACCTTTTCTGGAGTGCCGTTGTACTCATCACACATAGGTAGATATGAAATACCAAATTACATCTAGAAATGCCAGGCAGGGTTTCACTTAAGAAGTGATTTCTGTAATAACTATGGGAGTATAGTCAGTTTCATTTTTGGTAATACTAACAAAGGTACATTTTATTCTTAAGATTACTAGGCAGAACCTTTGTTTCAAATTAGGTTAGAAAACAGACTTTAGAAAAACCAAGCTCTCATTTTTGGCCATGTTTCTATTTGAGGATTTAATTAAGTAACAGTAATGTTTTCCCTTGAGGATTTTACCACTTGTGGTTATTAAAAGAAAAAAATAGCAGCAGTTTTATATGCCAACTAAGCTTCAATTGTGATTCTCTGCAGGCTGCTTAATGCTGATTCACAGCCTATATTACTGGTGATGCTTGCTCATCAAAAGCCTGAGAAAATGGGGCAGGTGTCCTCTGAACATGGAGCATTGGAAGTAGATTACCAAGGCACTGCAGTGAGCTGCTAAGTTCAGTGCATTTTTTTTTTTTTAAAAAAGCATTTTGCTTACTGATGAAATTACTTATGAGTTGGAAAACTGCTGATCTAGCTAGAAAATCTTGACCTAATAGAACAATACTTTTTTAGTAGACAAGTATTAGATCATAGATATTTTACTATAGGTCTGCAAGCTTATGTCAAACTGTTGCATCTGCATACAGTACATAGGACATTCATAGAGCATGCAGTAAGGAGAGTCTTATGGTGCCTCTTTTTCTCTGAGATTTGAGGCCTTGGAAAGATAAAATGACAGTCAAGTGGTCAGAATAAGCATTACATATTGTGAGGGGCCTATTACCTTTTCAATACTTGCTCATTTGCAAAATTCATTAACTTGCATCCAGTCTTCCAATCATTAGAGTGAATTAGTGAGGTTCCAGTTCACTTCATTTATTGCTATATAGATGGATTTCAGATTATCCCTTTTTGTTTTGCTATAGTGCAGCAGCAAGTGGAGCAGTAACTAGCTTCCAGAGCGCTGCAGTGTGCAAGGGGAAACCAGAAATAATTTGCCAGCTAAATGTCTGGAATCCTCCAAGGCTTCGATATAGGCTCTTATATCCTAACACAAGCCCAATCATTTTTACCTGTTAATATTTGTGTTCCTTTGGTCTCCACATAGAGGTTCCCTGTAGTGATGTGCATTAGCACCACTATATAATCCTTTCATTCCTTCCTGCTTCCATCATGGCTGTTGCCAGTAATGGACTTGATTGAAATGGGGATGCTAAAACTTTGGGATCGAGGACTTGTGGGTCTATCAGGAAATTCTATTGAAAACCTTATTTTAAGAGGATTAATACTCAGTCAGAGAAGAATTTATGCAAGAGTGAAACTAATGCTTAAGGTCTTGACCTGAGAGCAATATTGTTTGCTTTACCAAACTTTATATATAATCTAGATCAGCCCAATTTATTTAAAGAAGATTTTAAAACTTTTCCCTCCTTAAAGTTATGCTTTCTAAATCCTCTTTAACATTTTTAGTCTACTACTCTTTTAAAAAACTGCAATTTCAAAAATTGGGCAATTAATATATGCAGTATTATTAAATTGGTCTGAATTATTAGTCAGTAATGGCTCCTTTTGATCAGTCCATAATACTTTTTTTCCTTAGGAGATCTGTTAACATAGACTTTAATCTCCCCATCATACCTGTGAAGATGGGAATATGAAGTATACTAGCTGCTGGGTTTGGCAATGGTTTATATAAGAAAATCCAACTCTGTGTCTAAGGCTAAAACTGATTAAATTCATACCAGTTGTGAGGAGCTGGTTGGGATATAAGCAGAATATGCTTGGTGAAAGGGTGTATGTGTGTGTGAGAAATAACTTACAAGTCCCTCACTACTTGGTCCCTTCCCCATTGTCCCTATTCTTTGTCTTGCTTTTCTACAGAATATACAGGAAATGAAAATGACAATGAAACTGTGCCTGAAACATCTGCAGGTTGCTGGAGTATTTTCCACTACTTTTTTTTATTTCATTTTTAAGCCAAGACATTGCTTCATCTCACCCATAGCATGAAATGCAGGCATTGCATTTTGGCCATTGATACCCCAACATAATCTGCTTCTGGGCTGTTTCTTCATTGTACTGTTATTTCCAATGCTTCACTTCCTGATTTTATTTTTACTGCATATAAGTGCACATCCATGGACAAACTTGAAACCATTGTGATTGCAGTGAAGTGGTGTAATATGAGCCATTAATACAAAGTATTAGCTACACTTTTTTTTATCCAGTTTTATTCAAATATCATTGCATAGATCTTATATGTAACCCAAAGGACAATATGTCTTGATAACACCTAGAATTCCCAGTGGAGTACTCACTTGACCAGAAGTCTGTAAAAATGTCAGTTGGAGCCAACAGAAATACCAGCTTTTCTTCCCATTTGGCTGACGTTGCAATGTTTTATTGTTCTACATAGTTTCAGTGGTTCTCTGGGTTTCATGTCTTGGTTTGAGATTTAATTTACTACATATTTCTAAGAGAATACATTTAGGTACTTAATATTTGTGTAAGGTCTGGAACTGCCTTGAATGCCGTAGAAGTACATACATGAGAAGATTTCTGATACTTACTTTTAACTTGGCAAACAAAAGCATAACAAGATCCAAGGGCTGGAAGTTGGAGCTAGGCAAATTCAGTCTGGAAGTGAGGGAAACTTTTAAGTGAGGGAAACTATTGGAACCACTTACTGAGGGCTGCAGTGGATTTTTCTATCACTTGGATGTCTTTCTGAAACTGCACTCTAGCTCAATCAATGATGAACTTGAAATAAGAGTTACTAAGTGAAATTCTGTGCTCTGTGTTAGGCAGACTGGATCATTGTAACAATCCCTTCTGGTTTAAAATGTATGCAACACTTCAGGTTCTTGGTTTAGCATAAATTGTACTTTGTTGCACTTTCTCCTGTCCTGATAGGTGTCTCCTGATTTTCTAGCGTTAATGACCAATAGGAGATACCATTTCAGCACTAGGGTTAAAGTCTCATCAGAGAGCTCATAAGCTCTGTCTATGGTCTTCTTTAAGTACACCACCTCGCTGTATAGGCAAAAGTAACATTTGTGATGGAAACACTAGCCTCTGCTTCACAGTTCAGGATGGCCATACATGTCTGTTTTGAGGGCCATATGCATGATGAACTGTTTAATTCTTTCACTGTGCTTGAACATGATCACAAGTTTAATACCCAGAATGGATATAAACTAACTTGCATGTGAATACATAATGGTAAAATAAAGCACATTTGATGATAAAAAGAAAAGGTTTAAGGTCTATAAAGATTTTTTCCCCCTTCTCTTTATAAAGGTGGCGAACTCCACATGGCTCAGTTTTTCCGAGGCAATCTGGCCGGATTAATGATCCGGTCTGGTAAACTGGAGAACAAGAAGGTGATAGACTGCCTCTATACCTGCAAGGAAGGATTAGATTTGCAAATTGCAGACGGCATTGGCAAAGGCATGAAGGTAAATGTGCATATGGATGAAGTGAAATGCACCTGCTGTGATTTACTAAGGGTTTATCTATACTAGAAATGCTACAGCGGCACAGCTACGGCTCTGCAGCACCACTGCTGGAGTACAGAAGGGTTCTTCTGTTGGTGGAGTAAACCCACCTCTCCGAGAGGTTTGGTCACCAGGTCAATGGAAGAATTCTTCTGTTGACCTAGCACTGTCTTCAGTGGGGCATAGGTTGGCTTAACAACATTGCTCTGGGCTGTGAATTTTTCATACCCCTGAGTGATGTATTTGGTCAACCTAACTTTCTAGTGTAGACTAGCCCTAAGAAAGCATGTACTTGACCTGGTAAAGATTTTCCAAATAGCTATATTATAGATGCAGCTTATAAAAGCAAGAGTGTTTTTTCTCCAGTATATCTTATACCAGTTCCTCAAATGAAATAATCTATACCAACTAAAGCATTTTTGTGCTAGGATAGCTGCCTTTCACTAAGACTGTTAGTGGTATAGAGATGCAGTTTAAAAAAAATCACACCCCTAGTGATATTAATAAACCAGCAAAAGTTTTCTAGTGTAGGCTTGGCCTCTAGTGGCCTTTGAGAATGCAAATAGATGCATAAGCGCATATGTATGGAGCCTAACAAAACAACTTAACATAATAGGTCTCATTTATGCATAGGTATTTTATTTCAGTAGCAAGGCCTGTGAGAACAAGGCTACTTTTTCCTGACTTGTTAGCTATATCTCTTTCGGATGACTAGAGTGACAACATTGTTCCAAATTCCTGGAATTTTTCTTGGATAATGAAATACTGTAAATGTTTGACTTAAACTTTTAGGCTAATTGGGGAAGTTAAACTGAGTTGTAAAGCCAGTGACTAATGATTCTTTCTGCTTTGAATACAAATGCTAATTATCTCAGTGCTTAATAGTTTAAGCAGTGCTGAGCTTTTTGGCTTAATTATTCTAGCACATTGGTACTTGGATCTCTTTTTTTGATTTTTCTTCTGCTCTTTGGAATGGTTTCAGATTAATGTGAATCCCAGCCAGTCAACATTGACCTTGGAAGGGGATGATATTGACAGGTTTGACAAAGCCATGCAACATATTTCCTACCTGAATTCCCGCCAGTTCCCAACACCTGGAATCCGGAGGCTCAAAATCACCAGCAATGTCAAGTATGTCCTAGTGCAGAAAAATGCATCTATACATAAGGATATTGGGGACTTGGAGAAATAAACTAGAACAAAATTCTTTAGTGCAATGCCATTGACATGGTCACTAATGCAGACCTTTACTTGTGAAGGCTTTGTTCATGAGCCTTGAGTACTGAGGTGAAAGGGAATCTTCCAGTGATTAAAGAGGGCTTTGAATCAGCCCTTAGAACAGTTACCAATACCAAATTTGTTCTGTTACATAAAAATCCTGATCTGTTTCTTGGGACTGTTGATTAGATATCAGTGGTATTGTAACATTTTTGGGGGATCTGATCCAGGGATCAATAAATGTTGTTCTAGATGTAAAGTAAGATATTTGATGCTGATTATGGCCAAAGTGTTCAAATTTAAGTGCCCAAATCTGTATCTAGGTACCTAAACAAGTGGTGTGACTTTTTTTTTTTTTAAAGAGGTGTTAGGCACCTGCAGTTCCCGCTTAAGTCAAATGAAACTTCTGGAATAGTGTTTTGGGAGAGAATCTTTTTGCTGTGAACAGCAGCCTTAAGTGCCTTGAGCTATTGCATATTTGTTAGCATTGCTGTCAGAACTTCTCCAGACTGGTTTCAGATGACTTTGAAGACACTGATCAGAGGGGGGGTGGGCAAAGTCAGGCTGGAAAATGGTAACTTAAAAAAAAAAAAAAAGGAAAAGGCTATTTTGGATGTATTCTGTCATTCTTCAGGACTTTTCATGGTGACAAGAATGCACAATATTTCTGAGTATGCTGGTAATCTATAGGCCATTGATTCAGCTAGTGGCTGTCTAGAAGCATCTGTATGAGATGGTTTATTGAAAGGAACTGCTATGCTGTTTGGACACTTAAACAGAGCTCTTGGCATTGGCATTGTTGCTTTACAGTAGTTCATGGGATGTTTCTCATTGGGTATGCATTTTCCTGGCTTCCTACCCAAGTTTTGGGTTTGAACGTACTCAGTATCCCAAAATAAAACTTGGAATGCTCCGGTGTAAAAAATCTTCACAAACAAAAGTTTCTCCTGGGTTTGCATCAGAGCATATGAAATTGTGAATTATGAACCATTATGTGGTTAGGCATCTAAATCCATCTGTATTTTCATGAAACAAAAAAGCATCATTTGGCCACTTTAATGACCAAAGTTCTCCAGGCCGTGTTAATAGGCATGTCACCCATCATTTCGAGTCTTATTTATATTTCTACTCAATTTATTTCTGGTTAGTTATTTCCTTAATGTCTGGTTTGATTTTTATTTTTCCTCGTTGGGCAATCTTGGTCGTGATCATTGCAAGTGTGCACTGTGAGGACTTCTCCAGTATTGCAGCCTTACCTAGTGGCATAATCTCTGGATATTAGTCATAGCCCAGAAAATGGGGCAAAATGTTCTCTATGAGCAAAAATTCATTTTAACATTGTTCCCTTTGAGGGGGTGGTAGTGGTGATCTACATTTCCAACACAATTGATGGATTTATTATAGGACCCTTGGGTCTGAGACAGAGCTTATTTATATGGGATTTAATTAAATGGTTGAAATGTTTTGTAGTATTTTAACTATTTAATTGCCACTGCAGTGCATAACTGCCTCTCCTTTAAGCCTGTCTTGCACACTTAAACAAACAGCCGTTGTATCTTTTGTAGGTGTTTCAATGAAGAAGCCTGCATTGCCATTCCCTTTGTGGATGGGTATATAATGGTCTTGCAGCCTGAGGAACCCAAGATCAGCTTGAGTGGCATCAACCATTTTGCCCGTTCTGCCTCAGAGTTTGAGAGTCCAGAGGGAGTTTCTCTCTTCCCTGAGCTTCGCATAATCAGCACCATCACTCGGGAGGTGGAACCAGAGGGAGAGGGAGATGAGGATCCTACAGGTAACAAACTTGATTACTAACCTGATTGTGGAATCTGTCCCCGTCCTGCAAATTCTCTGCAGTGTGGGGATGGCCCTCCATGTGTGGATATCCCCACTGTAGCACAGAACAGAGGGGGTAGGTGTCAAATTCTTCATGATACTGTCTTTTTGATGTAGCAGGAAGAGAGTGGGAAGGCAGGGCTGGGTGAGAGGGTGGGCATACTGTTTTTCCCCTGGGCCTGCAGAACTTCAGTCAGAAGTGAGAACAGTCTTAGACTGTTTCTTCTCCAAGGGAGAGAATGCTTTTTGGGTGTGGTTTCTTAAATGAGAATTCAGTCTTACACCTAGATCATTCTTCATGGTCAAATCCATCGTACCTAGTCAGAAGGGAAGAATTATAGCTGCTTACGACAACTCCTTCCACTTTGCCTTTGGCCTTTCTGCTTATTTCTTTGGCTTCCATGTCCTCCTTCAGTCCAAGAATCTTTGGTATCAGAGGAAATCATGCACAACTTGGATACATGTGAGGTCACAGTGCTAGGAGAGGAGCTAAATCAGGAGCAGGAAAGCCTCGAGGTTGACATGACACAGTTACAGCAGAAGGGCATTGAGATGAGCAGCTCCAACCTTGGCATGATCATCACAGGTAAGGGGTTGCCACCTTTGGCCTTGTGCTGGGAAGGGTTTGAGGCAAATGAGAACAGAAACTGTGTATTTGTGTGCTTACTAAGTGAAATATTTAAGTGAATGAAAACTTTGTCCTGTCCCATCTCCTTCCCCCACCCCAAAACCCCAAGTCTGTAGTTCTGACAAGTAGCTGGGTCTTTTTTATCCTCCCAGGTGTTGATACTATGGCCAGCTATGAGGAGGTTTTGCACTGGATACGCTACAGAAACTGGCACACTGTCTCCCTGTTTGACCGAAAGTTCAAGTTGGTCTGTTCTGAGCTTAATGGTCGCTATGTCAGCAATGAATTTAAGGTGGAGGTATGTGATCTAATCTCATCCCTTTGAAAGTGGTCAGAGCCTGCATAGATGAAAGTTAATGCTTCAAGAAATTGATCAGTAACTGGTTGGATCTCTGCTTTCTAAATATTACGTCATCAGAGTAGACTAGGGTGTGTTAAGCTATGTTTTAATGGGTTGTCAATCTGAAAGTTGCCTTCACTGATTCCAACTCCAAGTGATGCACAAACCAGATCATATGGAGTTGGGACTCCGTGTGTATCCTACTATATGGAATGCAGTTAAGGGGAGTAAGTGGGGAAGAGGCTGGATGGGGAGGTGGGACACTAGAAAATGGACTGTTGGGAACAGTACTGCATTGGCCCTAAGGAAATGGACTTGAGAAGTCTTTTCCAACTCTAATTTCTGTGATTCTGTAAATTACTCTATTTTTTTCTTGCAATGGGGCTTACTACTGTCTTGCTTGCATGACACAGAGGTTACCAGGAAGACTAATCCTGAGTGACAGGAGGAACTACTTGAAATAAAAATTATTATTGCCCTCCATGTTTACACTGGGAAAGAAGCTTAAAGCCACACAGTATCTATAGAAGAATATGAATTAATGAGTCCTGCTGTTGATGTGAACATAGAGGTTAACTAACCCTCAGTGTAAATATACACCAAAATTCATCAATAGGTCCTCTGAGTGATGATGATCTTGATATTTGCTGCAACATGAAGTTATTGTTGTACTGAGAGCCATTGTTGCATATCTGTATATCTGTCCATTGTAAACTTGAATTTCATAAGCTGCACTTTTAAAAATCAGCCAATGTGAGGACAGTGCAGTTAATTCTGACTAGCCAGCATTTGATAACCATCCCCCACTTCCCTTTCCCCATCGAGGAGCAGAAATTGCATGAGTAGCTAACATGGCTATGCTTCCTGAGGAAGTACTGTAAACTTTGATCCAGGATCTTTACAATTCAGCAAACTGGAAATGCCGTCCTTGGAAATGCTTCCTTGTCATTTACTATATTTCCCCTCTTCCTATTGTGCAGCTGGCCATGCACCACATCTGTCTAGTCACTACTCCCCATTACAGAGAAGGATACGCTTAGCAATGCATTGGTGGAGAGGAAAGGGAAGCTCACCAAAACATGAAATGTGCTGAACTTGTAGCTGAGCCTAACTTAATGAACCAGCTCTTCAGAACCTCTGTTAAACGGTTTTTCAAATCGTCTCTGGAGTTCCAAAGAATCTGAGTGTCTCAGTGTTTTGTCTGTGACCTGCTGTTTACCCATTGCTGTTAACTGAAGGTGATCCTACACCAGAATTGGGCAAACTACGGCCTGCGGGCCACATCCAGCCTGCGAGACTGTCCAGCCCAGCCCCTTGCCCGGGAGGCTAGCCCCTGAACCCTCCCCTGCTGTCCTCCCTCCCCCACACCCTCAGCTTGCTGCACTGCCAGCGCTCTGGCCTGCCGCTTCTGCCGGGCAGCACGGCTGGCTCCAGCCAGGTGGTGGGGCTGCGAGCTCCTGCTGCTCTGAGCAGCATGGTAAGGGGGTGGGGAGCAGGGGGGTTGGATAGGGGGTGGGCCTGTGACAGATCTGTGCTGGTTGGTGTTGTGTTGTATTTTGTTTTGAGGGGGATAGATACTGACACACAGGAACTGGATCCCATCTACTTGAACCAAGTGCATAAACAAGCTGCTTTATTTCCCTACCTTATTTTTTCCTTTTTGTTTTCAGGTGAATGTTATCCATACAGCTAACCCAGTTGACCATGCAAATCATATAGCTATGCAACCACAGTTTGTTCATCCAGTGCATCACACGTTTGTTGACCTCTCTGGTCACAACCTAGCTAACCCCCACCCCTTTTCAGGTAAGGACGGTCAGTCACTTAACTCCAGTTGATTTTTTTTTTTTAAACTGGGGGCCCGACTGTGTGGCTTCTTGTTGCAGAGGGTTGGAGTTTCTTGGGGTGCCTTTCCAGAGACAGCCAGCAAATTAAACTAATAATCTACACAGCTATTAACTTCAATGCTCTCTAAAATGCGAAGTCCTGTTCTGCTCTCCACTCAGGAGGGAACAGCCTGCTAGAGATCTAGAAAATGCCAATCTAATGACAGAAACAAAGTCCAGCCCTTCCTGACTTGGTAATTTTGGAATACAGAACACTGCAGTGGGTGCTGTATAAGGACCTACATAAAGGAACTGGGGAACGGATTTCTCTGAACAGTATGACTTTTTATTCATAGAATATCAGGGTTGGAAGGGACCTCAGGACGTCATCTAGTCCAACCCCCTGCTCAAAGTAGGACTGATCCCCAACTAAATCATCCCAGCCAGGGCTTTGTCAAGCCTGACCTTAAAAACTTCAAAGGAAGGAGATTCCACCACCTCCCTAGGTAATGCATTCCAGTGCTTCACCACCCTCCTAGTGAAAAAGTATTTCCTAATATCCAACCTAAACCTCCCCCACTGCAACTTGAGACCACTACTCCTCGTTCTGTCATCTGCTACCACTGAGAACAGTCTAGCTCCATCCTCTTTAGAACCCCCTTTCAGGTAGTTGAAAGCAGCTATCAAATCCCCCCTCATTCTTCTCTTCCGCAGACTAAACAATCCTAGTTCTCTCAGCCTCTCCTCATAACTCATGTGTTCCAGTCCCCTAATCATTTTTGTTGCCCTCCGCTGGACATTTTCCAGTTTTTCCACATCCTTGTAGTGTGGGGCCCAAAACTGGACACAGTACTCCAGAGGAGGCCTCACCAATGTCTAATAGAGGGGAACGATCACATCCCTTGATCTGCTGGCAGTGCCCCTACTTATACATCCCAAAATGCCATTGGCCGCCTTGGCAACAAGGGCACACTGTTGACTCATATCCAGCTTCTTGTCTACTGTAACCCCAGGTCCTTTTCTGCAGAACTGCTGCAGAGCCATTCGGTCCCTAGTCTGTAGCAGTGCATGGGATTCTTCTGTCCTAAGTGCAGGACTCTGCACTTGTCCTTGTTGAACCTCATCAGATTTCTTTTGGCCCAATCCTCCAATTTGTCTAGGGCCCTCTGTATGCTATCCCTACCCTCCAGCGTATCTACCTCTCCTCCCAGTTTAGTGTCATCTGCAAACTTGCTGAGGGTGCAGTCCACACCATCCTCCAGATCATTAATGAAGGTATTTAACAAAACCAGCCCCAGGACCGACCCTCTGGGCACTCCACTTGATACCGGCTGCCAACTAGACATGGAGCCATTGATCACTACCTGTTGAGCCCAACGATCTAACCAGCTCTCTATCCACCTTATAGTCCATTCATCCAGCCCATACTATTTTAACTTGTTGGCAAGAATACTGTGGGAGACTGTGTCAAAAGCTTTGCCAAAGTCAAGGAATAACATGTCCCCTGTTTTCCCCTCATCCACAGAGCCAGTTATCTCGTTATTCCATTGAGGAAATCTGCCATTCCTCCACTATGTTTTAACTTGGTGTGAATTGTTTAATGTTCCAGTGGTGCATGTGGGAGGAAAGCAATAGGCTTTGAAGAAAGGAGCCTTCATAGTAAATTTTTAATTGGTGGCTGATCTTCTTTCAGATTGATGCAATTATACTTATTCCTCATAGTCCCTGTTTGTCTGATTTCAGTATCTATATAAAAGCACCAGTTGAGCATAATAGGCCTGGTTCTGTTCTGCCATGCAGCTTGGTCCTAGGCCTGTAAGTACTGGCATGCCTCTGGCTCCTGAGCAGATGCTGCTAACCCTAGTGAAACTGCATTTATTTTGTCAACATTCCTTCATCAGACTAGATTGATAGCACCAAACTCTTCACTTCTTACCTGAGCAAGGTATGAATCCAGCCCATTGGACTGTGCCACCAATAAAGAAACTTACTAGTTTAGCAATCTCACCAGAGGACTGGGAGCCAGGACTGTCTGTTTTTGTCCTTGGTTTCCTACTGGTTTATTCTGTGATTGTGGATAAATTTGCCTCAGTTTACTCATCTGTAATATGGGGTTGATATTTGAAAAAATAAGTACTGTGGTATTAGTATGATTATTGTTAAACTCCCTTTTTCTTGTCACAGTTGTTCCAAGTACTGCTACTGTTGTCATTGTCGTGTGTGTCAGTTTCCTGGTTTTCATGATTATTCTGGGTGTGTTCCGAATCCGAGCTGCGCATCAGAGAACAATGCGTGACCAGGATACTGGAAAGGAAAATGAGATGGATTGGGATGACTCTGCCTTGACGATTACTGTGAATCCTATGGAGGTAAGGCTTGTGTCCCAGGATTATGTTACATTGCAATTGATGGAGTGAGTGTATTACTGGTGGGCATACCTAGGCTAGCTTTAAGCTAGGAAGCACATGTAATAGTGTGGACATAGTTGCACAGGCTTCAGCACAGCCTAGTAATCAGAACAAAAAGCCTGCTGGGGACGTTTGTATGTAACTGTTGCTAGTCTGTGCTGAAGCCTGTGCCACTGTGTCCACGCTACGGCTGTTACCTGTGCTAGCTAGATTAAAGCTAGCCTAGGTATGCCCACTAGTAATACAATCACACCTTTTCTTGCAGAGTAGACAGAATCCTTTATCCTTTTTTACAAATAGTGCTTTCCAATCTGTCAAACATGCATGACTGTCAGAGCAGTACAGATCTGGAAAGGGGGTACTGCCACAACAAGTTTAATGCCACAGGGAAAATTTGAATCCATTCCTCAGAAAGAGAACATAAGAACTGCTATACTGGGTCAGACCAAAGGTCCATCTAGCCCAGTATCCTGTCCTCCAACAGTGGCAATGCCAGGTGCCCCAGAGGGAATGAACAGAACAGGTCATCATCAAGTGATCCATCCCCTGTCACCCATTCCCAGCTTCTGGCAAACAGAGGCTAGGGACACCATCCCTGCCCATTCTGGCTAATAGCCATTGATGGACTTATCCTCCATGAACTTACCTGGTTCTTTTTTGAACCCTGGTATAGTCTTGGCCTTCACAACAACCTCTAGCAGAGAGTGCCACAGGTTGACTGTACGTTGTGTGAGGAGCAGCCATGTTTCTTGTGATCTGTTGGGTGTGGCTTGATGGCAATAAACTGCTCAAAAAATAACTGTGTGTTGTGCCAGACTGTAAATAAATATCACTGGCTCCTTCAGTATATTCCTTACAATAAACCCCCACCACATCAGCTTTTTCCATTGAGTTATTCTTGTTGTCGTCCTGGTTTGATGCAGTTAGTTTTTGGGATCATTTCTACTTCAGTTAACTTCTGATACTTTTTGATATTTAAAAAAAAAGGGGGGTGGGGAGAGCAGGGACACTTTAAACCACTAATGCTGCTGCTATGTTCACACCAAAGGATCCTATTTCAATAGTACTCTCTTCAAAGCACTGGATGACCTTTGGGAATGTATTTATACTAAACAGGGACAAGACTGGCTAGTAACTTTCTGAAATCTCAGAACTACTTCAGAGCCACTTTACTTTTGACAATAGCCAGCTGAGTATTGAGCATTCACAACTCCCAATGAAGGTAGCGTATAAAAGGATAGGAGCCTGTAGGCAGCTAGAAAAGTCAATGGCTAATTTGTGTCTGACAGACATATGAGGACCAGCACAGCAGTGAGGAGGAGGAGGAGGAAGAAGAAAGTGAAGATGGAGAGGAAGATGATGATATCACTAGCGCAGAGTCTGAAAGCAGTGAGGAGGAGGAAGGGGAGCGGGAAGAGGACCAACAGAATGTTAACAGACAGCAACAGCTGGAATGGGATGACTCTACACTCAGCTATTGATTCCAGCTGTTCCCTTTGTTTTTGCTCTAGAAGACTTCACCGTAACCCTCTCCATCAAGGATCCATGGTGTAAAAAAGTCATTTTGGCCAGTAGAGCCAACCAACACATCCCAATATGTGTGTTATATTGGCTAGTTCCTAATACTGTCTCTAGAACTGTAGGTAGCACCTCTCCTCCCTCACCTGTCCCTCAGTGACTGGATTTTTTACACTATGTGAGGAACCACCTTGCACTTTTTTCTTCATGTCATCTCAGCTAAGTGACTCTACAGATGTGTAGCCATTGCACATGAGTTTCTGGACACTTCCTCCCCCCCCCCCGGTGAAACAACTTTGGCTTGATTCATCTTATTCTTTCTGAAAGATGCAAAGGTCACTTGTTGACAAAGGGTAAAGTTGTTTATTTCAGCTTGGTGAATTTTTTCCCCCAAACTAGTGCATGTGTAAAGTGGCAGAATGAGGTTAATATGTAGAATGACTCTCTTTGAATATTTTGTAAATATATTGAATTATGTCATTTGTGGTAGTGAAAACAGGGACTGGGGTTTAAAACACGCTAAGGTAAAAATCATGAAGCATGAAATAATACAAGTTGCGTAACTATTGCAGCAGGAGCACAGGCACAGTTATCTAGTGTAGATGTATTAATAATGCAGTGTCATTGGCCTCGACTGCTGTGTTCACTCCAGCCCTGCTGTTACTTTCTTCCCCTCCTCCCCACTTTGTTTTATGGAGAGAACAGACAAGCTTGCAACTGTAAAGGTTTTTCAGAATTTCAACTGTACAGCCTACTACAGTTTAAGTTTTGATCCTTCGCTTATTTCAGTGTAAGGATTACTAAATTGAGAGGAAGAAATACTGCCTGGATGTAGAGCAAGTAAGTTTGCTATTGATATTCTGTTAATTAGAGTGGGGCTGGTTGTAGTCCAAGGCTGATGCTTGCTGGTCGCATTGCTGGCAGGGCAAGTTATTCAGTTGTTTGTAATAATGGTAACTGAAGCGTCTGAGACCTGTGTACACATGCACCTTGGCTACCAGTCTAGATAGGGATTTTATTTTTTGGGTTGTGAACTTTTCTGATTTAGGGCATGGGTGGGCATAGTTGGCATCATTCCTATTCAACACACTCTTGCTTAGTCCCTGTAGCTCCTTGTACAGTAATCTGGACTGTTGGTGTATTTAAACCTTTTGTTTACACTTAGTAAATCTGTTTTCCTGCTGATGAAATTATGGCATATATTATCCAACCAGCAAACCTTGTAAACTGAGTTAAGATTATTGTTCCAAGACATGGCAGGCTGATTTTCTGATCAAAGACCTCTAACTTGGAAGTGCAAACGACTACTTACTTAAAGGAATGGCTGAACGGTACGAAAAGTAAGTTATGACCCCATGGTGGTGAGTGCTAGATTTTTCGTAAGGCAGGTCTTGTTCTCTATTTAATACTTTTGGTCTTATTCAGAGCCTTGTCTTATGTATATCTGCTTAGTCAATTTAACATTTGGAGGTGGGTTAAAAGGTAACTTGATTTGCTTGCAATGTGAAATTAGAACTCCATTCACTCATTATAGTAGCAGAGTTCCAGATTTTGATATTGCATGTAATCTGTTTGTGTACATGGATTAAAACAGGTTAGTGGCTCAGCTTCCACCCCAGTAGTGGCAAATGTTGAATAGTTTCCAGTTGTTCCTTGAGCAGGTATAAAGGTGGGGGTTGGGGGGAAGGGTAGAGAGCAATGGGTGTGAACAACTGAAGGGAAAGTAGACCCAGTTACTTTCTATATCTTTTCAGAGCAGACCTATTCTTACCTACTACACATCTTGCCTCCCAGGGTGTGAAACAGGACCTATGTGTGGGTTTATCTGGGGTAAAGACTTGACTCTGGAGTGCCTTTTACAATAATGGACCTGAAAGCAGGGGAGAGAACCCACACAATCTACTTACTGTTTTTTAATGTAAAATTTTAGATTTCTAAAATGGGGAAATGGGTTTGACTACTTTTATGTGGTAACATAACTATTAGTTTTAAGTAAACTGGGGAACTTTTAACTTATGTCTGACAGTTGTCCTGTGTTAATGTCAATCTGTAGAAGACTTATTCTTCCATATACTGTAGCTGCTGTATTTTAGACTAAAACTGATCATGATTGAATGCTAGTGCTGAAAGGCTGTAAACTTTCTGATGCAGTTTGTAGCCAGTGTGGATGTAACTTTTCAGATCTGTATATTGGTAATAAGTCAGTCCAAAAAGTCTAAGCTACAATAAATTTCTGGTTCTAAAATCTGCTTGCTATGCTTTCTGAATGGTACAAAGTTGATGAGTCAAGTGATAACTAACTATCCATGTTTTAAATAGTTTGTCTGAAGTGGCTACAGTTTGACTTTAATGCCTAAAGTGAGGGAAAGATTTTGCCAGGACTAGTATATAACTTAAACATTTTATTTTTAGACTTACCAAAAGTGCACCTAAAATCAGATTGAAGGTAACTGAAAAAAATCCATCATCATGTAAACATTCTCTTGGTGCAGAACCATACCATGGCTTAAAAAAATAAATTCATTTTTTCAGAGGGCACATACACAATAAGATCATGAATACCTTTCTAAATAAATAAGTATCAAAGTAAAAGGTAATTTCATCACTTTAAAAAGAATGCAACTTGTCTTGGACTTATTTACAAAAGGTAATAACCTTCATTTAAAAGAGGCTGAAACCATTGTTTGATACGTTTGCTTTGACTAGATCTTTGCTATACAAGATGGTATTAACAATTTTGTAGTTATTCCACAACTGAAGTGAGGGGGGAAAAACCTAAATTATTTTTATTCATTGCAGATAAGGTGAATTCTGCAAGACTGCCATGACCCCATTGTAGACTGATTAGACAGAAAGCACTTCAGTGCCTGCTTGTTTGGTGTGGTGTACACCTGCTATCTATTGCACTTTTAAAAACAAAACAGATGCAACTAACATGCTGCATCATATCCTTACAAAACTAGAGCAGGGTCTGACCTAATGTAAACAAAAATGCTTCAGAATATTCTATCACTGCATAAACTGAAGGTGCAACTTTCCTGGTTCTATCCACTGCCATCACCCTGTATATGGACAGTGCATCGTCTGCCTTCAGTGGGTGAGGTGGCACCACCCATCTTCTCTCCTTAGTCAACAAGCCAGGCTGAAGGTGGATCTATGGTGATGTTTCCCAACTACTGTGTATTTTATATATTAGAGCTTGGTAACATTATCTTCTGACTGTCAATAAAGCATCACAAGATGGTATACCCATTTCTAAAAATACAGCCCTGAAAGGGGGGGGGGCGGGTGAGCTGGTGAAATCTTCAACTAGAAAAAGTATTGCCTAGCAGCACCTTCCACTGTGATTACAGAGAGAGAGACTGAAGTTTAGATGCACCAACATGCTATTTTCACTGCTAGTGCTATTCTAGTCTGGCTTTAAAAAGCTGATATGCCACTGGCCAAATTACAGCCTCTCTGAGCACAGCTCTACATCCCTAAAACTGTGCTAGTTCAGTACATTCCTCACCTACTGCTCAACAGCCTCACCTCCACCCTTAAATGATGGGCTGCATACTTAAGAACTTACATTTGCAAGCTTCACATACACCTACCTTTCAGTGTGTACAGTAATTTTATTGCCTCATGCTGTCCCCCTTCTGCCCTAGAGATCTAGAATGAGATTGTGCAGCTGTTGGTTAGGTAGACTCTTTGCAAACACTTGATCTGTAGAGGTGCAGGTGCTGATCTTCAACATGGCAACATTCAGCAGTCTTTGTCTATTGCTGGTACATTCACCTGGACCACACAAGGGCTATTTTGGTTGCTCTACTGTCTATTATCTTTGGATACATTGTGTGCCAACCAGTTCACCTTGGTTTTCCAGCTCTCTCGCAGGGCTTCATTAAATTTGAGTCTGAAGTGCTTCAATGCCTCCTCATCTGTTTTCCCTAAAGCTAGAGAATCCTGAAGGAAAGAGGCAGAAATTAGTATAGCCCTGCCCACCCAACTGACAGAGAAACAAACAAACCCCCCACCACCTTTGTTTTAGGCAGGCTGCTCTCTCAAAGTAAACTACATCCTATTTTCATGCTGGAGCTGGGAAAACAATCCTTTAAACACTAGCTTACAGCACAACCCCATTTCATCCAGCTGCAGGAAACCAGGTTTTTAGCACTTCAAAGGCACAGTGGGAACAGAAGGTGGTAGCTGGGAGAGCCAACACACTCAATGCTATGCCTGCCTCTTTGCAGCTGATTCTTCAACTGAGCATACCTGGCTGCAACAGGGGGCAAGGAAAAGGAAGACAGGATGGCAGAAGGTAATATTGCCAACTCTTCAAAAAGAACAGGTCTCTCAAGCAACCTATTGGTTTTTAATTGAGAGATAATGAGTTTAGTTTGAACTTTTTGTAGTCCACAGTGAGAATCTCATTCATTTAAATGAAGTCTCCAGCAGAGTCCCATCTCCTAGAATTGAGTGAGAAACCCTAAATAGTATGAGCAGGGAGCAACAGCATGAGGTAGAGAATCAATTACCAGCTGGTGCTGGCTATCTGACAGCTGGCTCCTGCATGCTGGAATATCTACTCATTGCTTTTGAAACTTGAAAGGAGCAATTTAACTCCCACTCCTTAACCACTTACCTTTAGTCCTACCCTCTCCCACCCCCTGCCTCACCTTGAGATACTGAATGTCTTTAGAGCAGCTGAGTTCTGGCAAGCCAGCAGCTTTCATCAGTGCAAACAAATGCAGGAAGAGAAGACCATGGCACCTCAGGATCATGTAGGCTTTTTCACAGTAATCCCTGAATCTGTACAGGAAGAGAAGGGGCAAAGAGCAAGTGAGACAAGCAGCCCAACTAAAGTAAGAGTACAGTCATGATAGCATAAAAACATGGCCAAGCTGAAGCTTCACCTCTATGTTGAACACAAGGTGTTCCAACAGCTGGCCAAATGTTTTTCGACTAGCCCATGCTTCCACTTGTTACCAAAAGAATATGCTTTAGCGAGAGCTGGAAAAGACTTAGTTCATAGTATGTATAGTCCAGTGGCACATTGGCCCCAAATCCAGACCTGAGTCTCTCTCACATACGAACTGTGTGTGTTTATGGGGGTATGGACAGAGACTGAGTGAGGCCAATTCTTATGACATGAGTACTTGATGCTAGAGCTCCTGCAGGGGAAAGCCAGTTCTCTGCTGTGCCCTGTAACCAAATCTTCTAAAAATGCATTATCTTAGGAACAGCCACTCATACCAGTGGATAATCCCCAAGGGTTTGTCAGCTCAAGCAAGTGCTAAGGGGTAGTCTGGGTCATTTTGAACTCAAGTACATTCGCCCACCCTAAATTTAAATTGCTGGTGTGGTTGGAAGAGGAAGCGTTGTAGCAAAACAGATGCAAAAACCTGGAGATATTTCTCCACTGCTATGATGATCAATACTTCGCACACCACACCTTTCAAGGTCCATGGGCCCCATGCATGCCTAACGCAACATGTGATGTACCTCATCCAGGGCACTAAATGCTCCAGCAACAGTTCTGTGGGTAAAACCAGACCATCACTGCACTCTCAAATGAACTCTCACTGAATAACGATAAAAGACAAAAACACCCTGTTACCTGGAAGTGAACACTTTTCACAAAACTAGCAGGCCTCATCCTCAAAGGAAACCTGCACAACACCTTCAAAAGACAAGTCTGGGAGCTTAAATTTGCTAGAGACTAAAAATCATGGACTGAATAGAGAGACTGGATTTACAGTTTAGAACAACAAATCTATACCTGCCCTCTCTTTCCTCTTCATGACTACAGAGGTGGTAACAGGCCACTTCACACTGAATGGTCCCTTGAAACCTGTGTTAACTAGTTATGCTAAACAATCTGTTCCACTTTTTGTATTTAGCTGTGACACTGAACACATTTTCCAGACCTGAGGAAGAGCTCTGTGTAAGCGCAAAAGCTTGTCTGTCTCCCACCAAATAAGATTACCTCACCCGCCTTGTTGCTCTGTGTCCAAAACTGTTAGTGTGCATCTGGGGGCAACTGTTAGATGAAGTGATTGCTACAAACGGACAAATCCACCCCAAAACATTTTACTACAGCCCAAGTCAGATCAGTGGAGCTTACCTTTCAAACTTCTCACTGTTGTTAGTTTTCCCTTGCTGGATCACATGCACAAAGTCGTAGGTTAAGATAAAAGGAACGCGTTCTCTGTTAATGCCAAATTTGGTCTTGAAGTTCCCCAAGAAATGGCCAAAATCAATGTGAAACAGCTGGAATTAAGAGAGAAAAGAATTATTAGGGGGATGTGTCTGCTTTCTGCTGATTAAACTTCCTTGCACTTCTCCGTATGAGAATGTGCTTTATCTCTCCAAGCGAAATAAAAAAAACCTACTCAAAATGATCAGGCCCCAGTGGCTGCCTGGCATCTGTACTCTACTCAGGATTCTATTCCAAAGCAATCAGACACAGTCTCATGGGAAACACTAGGCCACCTTTTGCATGTCAGTCCATTGATAGCAGGGGAAGTATTTACTTTGTAGGACACAAGTGTTACCAGTAATGCATCCATGCATAAGTTAAATGCTGGCTGGGTCAGGAAGGATTCTTACCCCTGCAGCACTTGATACACATGGGGGATTTTTATGTTCTTCTAAAGCCTTGGGAGTAGGTCATTGCCGGAGGCAGGATAGCAAACTAGATGAGCCAATGATTCATTCCAGGAGGGCAATTCTGATTCCTGCATTATGGCTGGAGGGCTGATGCCCTGCTGGACGCAGCTGCAAAACTCTACACATGCCGATGAAGTGGTTGTTTTTTTTTTTTTTTTTTAGATAGCGCTCACTAGGTGAGTACAGGTTTTTCATGACCAGGTTGCAAGGCTGCTCTAAACCCTGAAATAAACAAATCAATGCTGCTGTTCAAAGGGTTCCAAGCACACTCTAGTGGCAAAAAGTGGATTGTCACAAGCTGTGCAGAATTTATATCCATGAGCCTTGCAGATTCCCAAGCCTCCATGTCATTTCTGTCAAGCAGAAAGAAACCCTCAGCAGCTGCAGCTCTCCAGAGCTTTCATAGAATCATAGAATATATCAGGGTTGGAAGGGACCTCAGGAGGTCATCTAGTCCAACCCCCTGCTCAAAGCAGGACCAGTCCCCAATTTTTGCCCCAAATGGCCCCCTCAAGGATTGAACTCACAACCCTGGGTTTAGCAGGCCAATGCTCAAACCACTGAGCTATCCCTGCCCCCCTTTCTTGAGCC